CTCCCTTTCTTTGGCTGAAAGCCTATATTTTAAAGTGTGTCTACGCTCTTTGCATCTTATGCTTTTTGTTCTGTTTCCGCTGTTATTAAAGCCGGCTTTTTTAGAGTCAGTGAACATGTCATGTGACCGTTTCATTTATCGCGCATAAATTACATCACATTCTAAAGTTCCCGTATTAACGTGTGCTCGTGGGTGTGAATAAATTAGTTCATCATGGCTGCGCATATGTTTATTCTTCGTCTAAAAATAGAAAAGTGTACGTCAAGACCGGTTTTTACAGCGAGCCAGCCTCTCGTAGACACAATTGCACCACTGAATAGCTTCTTCGGCAACTTCTCAAACCTTCATCAACATTTCACAATTGCACCATGCCAAAGCACGAAAAGTCTATCCTCGATGTAGAAGCCGTGCGACCAAACCGTTTCTGGGAGACCAGATTTCATGATTAATGTTTACTCGAAGGCTACAGAAACTCCTCTAAAAGCAGACTCACCGAGACTGGGGACCATTTCATCGTCGCTAGGAGACCCTTCGAGTAAGCAATTCCTGCAACTGAATGGGGCACCTTACACAGCGAAATAGCTTCCAAGATACCGAACGATAATGCTGGAAAACACTGGATTTGGCTTCAAAAAATCAAAGAACATGACACTTGTGCATGTAGTTTGATGCAAGACCGCTACCACCTCTGAGTAAAATGTTACAAACAGACCAAACCTCCATTTCAACGTAAGAAACGCTGCACATACTGCCGCCGGGCGATGATCGTTAGGCGTGAACGCGGAAGAATTTATCAGGGGTAAGTTTCTCTTCGGACTCAACGAATCCTTCTGTCGCTTCCGAGAAGACATATTTCACAGCCATGGCCAACGGAAACCGGATGATACCCCTTTCACCCCGGCTTTCGTGGTGAATCAAGTTATATCGTTTGAGGCGGCATAACATACAAACAAGCTTTTGGCTAATTCCACCACAGAAGAACAAGTTTACTCTCCCACTTCCACGACAGATCACAAATAGGTCAAAAAACCTCCGGGCAGATCAAGACCTGGAACCTAACTAACAGATCTTGCTTTTTCTGTGGCACCAAGTGGCAACACTACCGTGACATATGCCTAGCTTGAGGCCAGACTTGTGGCTGTTGTCACAAAACTGATCACTTTGCAGGCGTCTGTCAACAGGTTGCCAAAGATAACCGAGCCTCCAAACTTGCCTCCCATAAACCTACCCCACCGGGTCCCAGACGGGAACACATGAGATTAGTGAAACAAGAAGAGCACTCCTACACCCTTCCTAAGGAAGGCATACAGTATGAGAACTCCTTCACCCTCTCAAGCGGGCAACTCACTAACACTGGCGTCACTACAATGGCCCCACCCTCTGACGAAGGCCATTTCATCTTGCTTCTTTTGGAGAAACCAGACTCAAACTGCAGAGCGCAAATTCCTTTCCAAATAGATTCGGCAGCCTCTTGAAACACACTTCTATCTTACCACCTCTCTAGCATGCCTTGGGCCAAGATTCTAACATCAAAAACTGTGATACCACTGTATGACAGTTCACCAACTAAGCAAGCAAAGCACTTGATGTACTGACTCTACGTGCAGACTTCATAAGGAAATGTTCCACAAGTAACCCTTCTCAGCCACCAACGACTGAACCTGACAGTCATCAGGTATCAGCAGCTGGGCCCCCTCCATCACCCCCAGATACGTCAATGCGAGTATGGCCTACACTAGGGCCTTGAACTCTGGAATTCATTTCCAAGAACTGGACCTCACTCTTTCAAGGTCTGGGCTTCCGCAGCCCACCCGTCGATCTTGACCTGGATCCAGATGTCAAACCAATCCATGCCCTCAATCGCTGCTAGCCCATTTCAAAGCTGGATGCGATCAAAGCGGCCCTGGATGCGTATGAAACCACTGGCCAGCTGGTAATGGTATCTCAACCGAAAGCGAGAACCAACCCCCACCAAACCGGGAAAATACGGAACTGCTTAGACCCTTCTCAGACCCTCAATAAAGCCATTCGATGTCCAAAGTATATCATCTCCACCTTGGAAGAAAACATCCACAAGCTGCAGGAATAGGAATAGACGTCAAATAGGCAAAACATACCCTTGTTCTTGAGATCATCTCCGATGACCACAATGTTCACATCATGGGGTCACTACAGATGGACTAAGCAACCATTTGGCATATCCTCTGCATCCAAAGGATGGCAGTGCCAAATTCATATGGTGCTTGATGGCCTCCTAGGCTTTAGCATCGCCGAAGGCATCTTAATCCCTGGCTGCGGCGACAATGACGTCCAATGGACCACGACCGCATCCTTATCGCCGTGCTTGAGGAATTTGAACAATGTCATGTCAAGCTGAATGTCAACAAGGTGAAATTCCTTATTTGCAAAGCCACCTTCATGAGCCATGTTACCACTATGGATGGCCTCCAGCCCAACCCTGTCACAATTAAAGCTATAATCGCCATGCCCACTCCAAACGAAAGCCAAGCAATGCACCAATTCTTAGGGGCTATTAATTACCTGGCAAAATTCTGCTCCCAACTTAGCAGCGTCACCCAACTTCAATGCAACCTCAGCAAAAAGGACATGCCGTCCATATGGTCAACAAGGCACCAGCAAACCTTTGATTCAGCAAAAATCCTAGCCACCTCTGCAGCATGCCTGGCATACTTTGATGTAACTGCAAGTGGACACCTCAGACTATGGCCAAGGAGCTGCCCTCTTACAACCCATCAAACCAGACAGTAGCAGCGCCCTTGACGAGTGTTCTCTACGATCAATTGCGTACAGCAAAAGACCTAACCACTGCCGAGAAGCGCTATGCACAAATCGAAAAGGAGTGCCTGGCCAATCCAACACAGAGTCTACACAGAACACCAACCACTTCAGTCGATCTTCAAGAAGGACCTCACCTTAGCCCCTAAATTTCTGCAGAGGATTTTGCTTCTCCTACAGCGTTACGACTTTACTGTTGTGTACAGAAAAGGTTCTCTCTTGCATTTAGCAGACACCGTATCCACAGCCCCATGTCAAGACGAAGCCGTCAATCCATTCATGTCGGACACCTTCCATATGTTTCACGTTCATCTTGCTCGCTTGGACCCCACCTCAGCGGCCCTCATCGATATCACTCGCGAGCAACTACGCAATGCCACATCATCATGCACTTGCGGCAGCATTAACCCCTCAACGGTTCGCGAAGAACTCAGCATTGTAAATGCTATTCTTCTTAATTCTACTCGCGCCATCGTCCCTACCTCTCTCAGACCAAGTATGCTGAGCAAAGTGGCGGCCTGCTTTCCCAGTGTGGAAAGCAAGCTGCTACTGATGATACTGTCCCCTCCTGTCCCTACACGACCTTGGTAGTTCATCTCGCAAGATCTATTTGAGTTCCAACAAAAGCAGTACCTAGTCACCGTAGACCATTACAGTGATTTCTATGAGTTGGAACAGCTGATAAACACTCAATCCACCACCATAGTCATGCTCACCAAAGCCCACTTTGCTTGCCACGGCATGCCAGTAAGTTGTTTAACAGACAATGACCCGAAAGCCAAAGAAGTTTAATAACAACGAACTTTACTAGAAAGTAGGTTAACAGAGTACAACCTCACAAGAGCACTCCATATCCTCAGTGCCTTCCTTTTGGAACATTTTTCTTCTTTTTCTTGTTATTATCTTGTTATTATTGAACAATGGGTCACATTAATTTTGTCTTGGAATTCGGAGACACTATTTGTTTGTATTTGCATATCTCTCTCTCTATATTTTTTTTTTGACGAGGGGAGATGTCATGTCACCGTTACGTCACTCGCGCATGATTGCATCACATTCTAAAGTTCCCTTATCAACGCGTGCTCGGGGGTGTGAATAAACTAGTTCATAATGTCTGCCCACGTGTTTACTCATCATCAATCTAGATAGTATACTGCTTAACAAGCACACCTATATTTTCCATCTATTTTATTTGCAAGTGTATAAATAAGCTCTTTAAAGTCAGAAATCTCATTCCTTTATTTGGCTTTTTTGACACTGTTATTTTTTATAATGTTCGCCGAGTGCTTTCCTTTGAGCGGTTGCCTATTCACATGTTTTTCTCGTGAGATGTCGTTTTCGTCTTCTTCACCAAGACTTTGTGTTAGGTATTCCGGTAGAGAATTTTCAAAGGCGGAAATTGGTGCAACTGTTTATAGTGGCTACAACAATATCGACGGTTTCGACTCTTTATGAGTCTCTTCAGCTGTTGTTTGAAGATGGTGTTGCAGTAACAAGGTCTTTCAGGGAAAGGTAGAGTGGTGTTCTCAGTTCCGTTCCCGAGTGGAAATTGCTTCTGTGCCCTTTTTATACGTAGATCGTTAGGCTTGAGGATCGAGTTTCCATTATTCCTATTGGTCCTTGATGTTGGTCAGGGAACCAATAAGGAGCAGGCCATCTTACACGATCCGAAGGTGAGAGTGAGTTTTTAGGAAGGCCTTTTCTGCTGCATAACTCGCTTGAAAAGCTACCAAGACTCATAATTGAAATTTGTTACGGTTTCCCGTGGTGTTTGTTTCCGTTCCTCCTAAAAAGGAGGGGCTTAAAATGTTGTTTTTAAGCTATAGTTTATGTATTGTGCATTTGTACATTAACTGATCATGCACTCCAGAGTGTTTGCACATCAAGGACGGGGTCTGTCTGGAAACTATCAACATGGGAATAAAGGTAAAGACAGACCGGCACGGATTCCCATCGCATTATCGCCTTCAAATTATGTTTTTGCTCTCATAAGCGTGTCTCGATACGTTTATTGAAAACCCTACGGCATCGCGCCAAATACCAACTTAATGAGATGACCGTAACCAAATGTTGACATAAACATTCAAAGTAATTATAGAGAAAGGTAGAAATATAGACGGCACCACTTTCCTACGTACTTTGTTTCGTTAAATGATCCAAATATGTCGTTTATCAAATGTTTTTGTTTACAGCATTGTCAGTGGATGGTGGCTGGAGTGAGTGGAACTCCTGGAGTATCTGTACCAAGACAGTTGGTGGTATACAAACAAGAAAGAGAGAATGCACCAACCCAGAACCAAGACGTTGTGGGAAACACTGCGATGGGACCGGAGCACTGTTGAGAGTATGTAGCAACATGTCCAGTTGCCAGGAAGGTAACATACAAATTGTAGCCTTTCTGATTTCAGTTGATGAAAACTTCTTTGTTGAAACAAAACTGAACAAATTCAGGAATAAAAGCTAGAATAACAACAAATGAATGGAACTGCTGAGTTTGAACTTTAATCACATAATCATCCAGGCGAAGTATGTGAAATGCACAATTTATCAAAAGTCAGGAGTTCATTATAAGTCAGTAATCCTTCATAAATGGACAAACTCTGTACATGTACGGAATTCACCATGCTTTCTTGAAAGAAATAAAACAAATCTCCACTATCATTAGCACTAAAATATAGGTACTAAAAGATTGCCGCAAGCTTTCCCTGATATTTGTGGTTGCTCTGTAAGAAGTCTGCGCAATGGCGATTACGAATTTCGTTGGACTGCCCGTAAGCAATACCTTTTTAGCTAATCCGGTATTGCTAACTATCATCTAATGATAAGAAACATGTTCAAAAATGCAAGGGCCTCAGTTACTATATAACGTTTTGGCATTGACCTGCTGGCAAAGAAAATCATGTTAGCTAAACAGGAAATTCTTCCACCATAAACTGAAAAGAAATCTTTCAACGATGCAAGGACTACTGTTACTAGGTAATTATATGGGGACATCATCAACACAATAATTTACCTATGCTGGAGTAGTTCATGTTGTTTATCGTTATCCTTATTTATCAATTTTTTTTTTTGATATTTGAAGAATTTCCCCTGCGTTTTGAAACAGAGAAGAACCCATCTGTCGGTACAATGGAGATATTCTCAAACAGCAGCTGGCAAAAGCTTTGTACCAGTCAATGGGATGAAGCAGATGAAAATTCAACCTGCATGGCCATGGGCTACTATAACAACGGTGCTAATGACACATGGTACGCAGAACGTGGCAGTGCTACAGAGATGTCCACCCACTACAACTGCACCATTCCCACCAGATGTCAAAGCGACTTGGAAAAGAAACAACAATTTTGCAAAGGTAATAATGAATTGCACTCATGTAATATCCACATGATCTCCAGAGATGGTAACTTGATAGATTTACTTACACTTCAGATATGAAAACTTTTCCGAGATCAATAATTGTTCATCTTCGGGTGTCTTTTACGTTCTAAAAGGTGTCTATCGCTAAAAATCTTGCGGGTTTCTACTGTTTACACCCTAAGACGATTATAGTTGAATTACTGCCGAAAGAAGAACCTAGCTGCGCAGTTATGCATTTGGGTTTCATGAACTTCATAACCTCCAAACCCTTCACCAAGTCTCCTTAAAACTATTGCATCCTTCTAGTTTCCTTTTTCTCTCTCTTTCGTGCAACTAGGGAATTTCACGATTTTTCACTCTACTTATACTCAACTAAACGCCTTTTTCTTGATTATTCCGTGGGAAATGCTTTAAAATGACTTTCTAGTTTAAAATGTAAATCACCCTTTTGTGTTCTCCGAAAGCAAAACGTTTTCAGGAAAAGAAAACACGTCTTGAATGTTCCAAAATTATTGAAAAAACATCTACTTTTACAATTTAAAACGCAGTCACAAATCAATGCAAAAGAGGTTTGTCGTAAAACATTGCAGCAAGGAAACCACTTCGTGACAACGAACGATGCGGCCAACGTTCGAATACTGAATAATTTGCACCCAGAATTTCCCTTAAAACAAAACACTTAGACTGGCATGAACTATTTATCATTTCGTGATTTATAGGCATTCTTGATTCTTGATAATTAGTGTTTTCTATCTTAACGAATTGAACTTTTTGTAATTTCATAAGTTCCTGTTCGCTTGAATGGCGCAAATGTGGAGTATGGAGGAAGAGTGGAAGTGTTTTACAAGGGAAAATGGGCAAAGATATGTAGGAATAAATGGGACTTTGACGACGTCAAAGTTATTTGTCGCCAACTTGGCTTTGAAGAGGCTTTGGCGGAATTCATTGGGTCAGACATAAAGGCTGAGGGAATACCTTTTGCAATGTCCGATGTCTCTTGCACCGGAGAAGAGTTTGAACTTGCATCATGCGATCGCATTGATGGAAAGTTAAATATTCCACCTCAATGTCAATCGGATGACAAGGGTTCTCAAGCGTTGTGTCAACCAAGTAAGCAACTAAATTTTTAGGTCTGATTAGTGATTCTGGTTTTCGTGAGCTGTCTTTCTTCTTCTCATTGACATTCGAAATCAGAGTAAATTGAGATACACAGATGTAACGAATTTACTTGACCTCCGATATTTCTGTCAAGAAAATCCTTTGTTGACGACTTTCTTTGGAGTAATGTAACTTAGTTTTAAGTACGAAAAAGTTAAAAAATTTCTCAAGTTAAGCTTTAGTGCAAATAAATATACTCAACTTTTTTATCTCCTCTTGTGGTGTTAATTACACAAAATGTGACTTATTTTGACAACATCTTCCAAACCGAACCATTTTTTTTTTGCAGAGAACAAGAATGTGTTGGAAAGAGTTGAACTCTATTTTGATATTGGTAGCGGAGAAAAGCTTCGCTGCTCTATACACAATGAAACCAATTATGCTAGATGGGTCATCAATGGGGTAAAGCTTGAAATAACAAACTCTACTTCTCAAAGGATCAGGGCTGGAGACAATGGTGATCTGTTCATCGATGATGTACAGCTGTCTGATGGAGGAACATATGAATGCCAGAGATTGGAATATGTTCAATATTACATTGTCTATATTAATGGTATGAAAACACATCTTTTTATCTTGTAGAAATAGGCTTAACATGCATGACAATGTCATGTAAGACAAGTACACCTCTGACCTTTCAAAAGTGTAGCTATAATATTAGTACTTTTCATTACTCCTTTCAACAGCAAGATTTACTGAGAAGACGTTGGACCAACAAACCGTTATGGCGTACACGTCTGGCATTATAAGCTGCAGTGCTGATGGAACACCAAGTCCACAGATTTCTTGGAGTAAAAAAGGAAGAAAGTCCTTAGACCCGAAGCGATTCACTCAAGTATCAAACGACGGCTTGCGTATTGGTTTTGTAAAGCCTGAAGACGATGGAACATTCACTTGTACCATGAAACAAACTAAAGGAGCGAAGAGGGTCACAAGCAAAGATAAAGACATACGAGTGAGAGTTATAAGTGAGTGACCAATGAGATAATATATAGAAAGTCATAAACTCAGTTCTTTAAATGTGATTAATTTAATTTACTCAATTTCAAAACCTTTTCGCTGTTCATATTCGCAGCCATGTGAGGCGACATTTTATCGTTTATATGTTTGTTGATTACAGTTGTTTGAAAGTAGGGTATCATGTTAAAAGAAATTATACTTAGGTTATTTATCAACAATGTAGTTTCCTCGTCATAACTCAAAGTGAGTGCCCTTTGATGAAGTTTATAGTTTCTTTTCAAACTGGTAATGTGCTTAAATCGACTTCGGTTGGTCGTGGTGACAAATTCACTTTCTGAATGCAGTATAATAGTTTGTCTCGCCATGAAGACATTGGCTGGAATCCCACAAAGGCTTCGATTGGCACACTTTGACCAAATGTTCATCCGGAGTCCACTGTTGCAAAGTTATCCTGTTTTTGTGGTTCTTGTGGTCAGCATCCATGTTTCTGGGATGTCTATCCCAATGTCCAATTTATGCTGTAACAGGCAAAGTCTTATGTGGATGGCCTCTTTTACGCTGCGTTTATAATAATAGGATCACTATCAATATACTCTACTTCAGTCCAGAGCAGGTGGTTTCCAGGTGTCTTCTGAAACTGCAGAGGCCTTTGTCTTAGCATGTCGTTTCTCGATCTGCCATATCCCTCGTTTAACCTTACTTCCATAGGTCTGCCTGTTATCTAAACTTTGCCGCACTCACATGGAATCTTGAAAACCATGGGCTCTTGTTTTAAAGATGCAGTGCCATGGATGGCGGGTGTGGTGTTACTATTTGTAACATCAGTGAAGTGAATGGAATGCTTTCGGTTCTTCAAATGCTGTAGGAAGCTATCAGCGTTTTCGCGAACCAAGATTGTGAATGTGTCTTATACATAGCGTTTCCAGATCCTTCGCTGGTAAGATGATAAGGTTATCGATTGCTCCTATAACTCTATATGTGGAGATTAGCAATAACGGCGGAGACCAGACTCCCCATGGCCGCGCCTTCTGTCTTACGTAAACTGGTGGTCCGAGATAATAGGAGTACGTAGACCTCAATACGAAGTTCGAAAGGTTCGCGATCTGACAAACGATTATACTTCATATTAAGCGCTACTGTCATCGTCAAATGTTCATTTAGTTACGGCGTCTAATGCGTTCAATGTAAATGATAAAGGAATACCTCCAATTTTCCTGTAATATGTTAATTATTTACCTTTTAGTTCGACCAGATGTTTATATTTCTGGAGCAAGCAATCTCATCATAGAAGGAAGCAGTGTAAACTTGACGTGTGAAGTTGTGGCAGGTCAGCCTGAACCACGGATCACCTGGCTCAAGAATATTACATTGCAAAGAGAGAGTTCGTCTCTCTTCTTTTCTGAGATAACAAAGGAGGACGAAGGGCGGTACACTTGTAAGGCAGAGAATGAAGCAGGCATTTTTACCAAAGACATTAAAATTTCTGTAAAAGGTGTGTTTGTAAAGCTCAACTGTATTATAAATCAATCATGCATTTGATATGCCTACGGAAAGCGAATCAATAGCCAGTGGGCCTGACTCTAGATCAAGGTTTCTGGGTCTGAGCTAAGGGTAAGGTAATTGTAGAAAACTATCAGAGAAATTTTAAAAATGCAAGGGCTTTCAGCTATCACAGGACGAAATTGCAAGAATCCGTAAACGGAAACGTGGCAGAAACATGTTAAACCGTTCCGGAAACACAACGGATAACCTGTGTTTCCGTTACCGGTTTCGTGACGTTTTCTCGCGTTTCCGTTGCTGCGTATACAACGGAACCGGACCACTTTTACGTAAACATAACGGAAACATGGAGTTGCATGTTTCCGCCACGTTTCAGAAATACGGAAACATGTGATTTCGTCCTGTGTATTATCTGCAACTGATTCACCGGTGAGGACCAGGTCCTAGATGAATAATTTTTTCAGAACGCTTCATTTGTTATTTATTGCGAAGAACTGGAAAGTCTCTACAATTGTTTCTTTGTTCCCGCTATAACAATTTGATGATATCATGGCTAAGTTAGTAAAATAGCCTGACCGACATGGTTTTGGAAGGATTTGTTTGATATGGTAAAAAAGTGGCTCGTTGTCTTCTTCTCCTTCTTTTTTATTGTTATTTACTATTGTTTTTTTTTTTTTTTGCGGGTGGGGGAGGGGGGGGTAGGTTGGGTAGCTTCTTATTTTGTAATTTGTGTTTACCTGCTTACTTTGCAGTTCCACCCCATGTTCGTAGTGAGTCTAGAAATCTCACCATTGCGTTTGACTACCCATTTATTAGAGAGTGTTATTTCAGAGGTGACCCACAAGTATCTGTCAACTGGACCAAGGATGGAGTGCTAATTAGTAAAAACAACACCTTGGTTATAAGACAAGCGACGTTTAAAGATAAAGGCTATTATGAATGTACTGCTAAAAATGATTATGGCGAAGCAAAAGCTTCCTTCTGGATCGATGTCACAGGTAAACCCAAAATTGTAGTTTATGTCATTTATCAAACTTGTAACTCAACAGAGCGTTTGTATTAAAGTTTAAGCCAAATTTAAAAACACCAATTTTTTCCTCTTTTCACCCATTTCCTGGTCACTTAGAGTTGATTCTGACTTACAGACACCCAGATTGTAAATGAAGATAAATCCGTAACCAAAGAAATAATTAAAAACACCTCCCGCTATTAAGGAATTCCAAATCCTGTGGTCCACTCTAACATTTTTATCCGTGGACGCATGTTAAAATACTCAATTTGGAGACGTCAAATGACAGATATCTTTTTTTTTATCACAGAATGCCAATGTTTTACCTTGTTTTGATCATCATTACCTAAAAACTTTTTCAAATTCGATATATACTGCTAAAAAATAAAACTGAAAGTCATTGAACATATATGTTTTTAACATCACACTCAACAACCAGAAAGAAAAAAGTGAAGGTTATTGGCACAACTGGGACAACTTAAGGCTAAACAATATCTCTTTATGCTGAACGCGAAGAAAACCTTTGAAAATATATTTCCAAACAGATTAAAACTATTTTTCAGTTAAAGACGAAAAAAATATGGGTCACCTGACCCATCTACATGAAAATACTCAATACTCAATTTGGAGACGTCAAATAACAGATTTCCTTTTTTTTTTTATCACAGAATGCAAATGTTTTACCTTGTTTTGATCATCATTACCTAAAAACTTTTTCAAATTCAATATATACTGCTAAAAAAATAAAGCTGATAGTCATTAAACATATAGGCTTTTAACATCACACTCAACAACCAGAAAGATCAAAGTGCTCTGTGAGCAAACTCGGGAATTGACACATGATTTTTTAGATTATGTTATCTGGTTTAGGGAATTTTGTGGTTGATTGTCATATCTAGAGTGCGAGCAGTAGTTCAGTGTTCGCTAATGTAGCAAAGAAACAAAGTATCGTTGGGATAAGAAGGCATTACAGTTGAAATGATCATGCTATTACATTTGACAAGGGTGGATGATGTCATGTGTTTTAAACGTATATCATTTTTTTTCTGGTTCAAAAGAAAAGGTTGGAAGTAAATGTGGGTGAAAAGTGAAATTTACTGCCTATCACTGTAAATATTAGAAAATCAAGGCAATACTGTCTTAATAAAAACATTAACGATTCCCTCTTTATCAAATGAGACAAACGGGAACGAGTTTTTGAGAGACAGTCTTGGCTTAGTTTGATATAACTAAGCCAAGACTGTCACCGTCATTTTGGATCTCCGCCTGGGTAGATTTTAGTCACGTGCTAAGCAACGTATAATCAATAACAAGATAGAATTTCATTTCAGGCCTGTTTATCAATTTTGTGGTGTATAACTTTCGCATTTTAGTACGTAAAATGTATTTTGAATCTTCAAATTGTCTTGAAACTTAAAAGAAAATTGTTCTTTAAAAATTCACTGAAAATCGGTAGCTAAAATTGTTTGTTTAGGTGTTATTTGATTTTCGTGTCAACTTGTAATTTCGTCTGTCGCCGGCACCTTTTGTTGCTTCACACAGGAAAAACACACGATAAGAAACGTAATGATCAATTTTGTCCTCAACTCACGCCATAACAGAAAAAGCTTTTGAACATCTGTAAACTCCGAGCGCTTCGCAGTAAGTGATATTTTCAATGAATCTTCGGATTGTTTTCAAGTTCAAGAATTATAAATTACAATTTTATGAAAAACGAAGGTTGTCTGTTATTTCAGTGTGAATCCTTGCATGCCTGCCAGTCGCTGGCGCCGCTTGTTAAAGCTAAAACGAGAAAAAAAAAACTCCTTTAAGATTATCATTGGCTTCTTTTTCACCCCACCACTATTCTTAGCAACAAAGGTCGCCATTCCATTTGTTTATTGCTCGCCAAAAACTATCAAATGCACTCAAAAGCCTAAAATCGAAAAAAAGTTTACAGGAATCGACCAATCGAGCGAGCGAGCGAGTGCCATTCTCCACATCGTATCTACAACTCGCTCTTGCGCATACGCGCAATTCACGAGTTAAAAAAATGAAGGTTATTGGCACAACTGGGACAACTTAAGGCAAAACAATATCTTTTTATTCTGAACGCGAAGAAAACCTTTATAAAAAAATTGACCTTGGTTAAAAATAGACTTGAATATCGCGTTTCTTGTTTTGATTTTGTTGTTGTTGTTGTTTCGTCGTTTTATCAAAGGTTAGATAAATAGGGTTAAAGTGGATTATACAAACCTTATTAATTTTGGAATTTTTTTATTGAAGTATTTCCACAGATTATAAAGCCTCCCCTAAACCAGTCTGTTACTGAGGGAAACTCTGTGAACTTTAGTTGCCGAGCCACAGGTGTGCCAACACCAACATTAGTCTGGGTTTTTAATAATGGTGACCTGCCATCTGGTATCAATCAATTCAATCACAAAGGAGAATCATTCCTGGAATTTTTAAGCGTCACAAAAGGGATGGAGGGGACTTACAAGTGTGAAGCGAAAAATAAAGCAAATACAACTAGTTCCTCTGCAACACTGCGTGTATACGGTAAGTTTAATGATAATGACGATAATGATGACGATAACGATAACGATGACGCTGACTTTGACGATGACGCCGACGATATCCATGGCGATGAAGATGATGTGACGTCAACGCTGAACTGATGCTGACGCCAACGCTGAACTGATGCTGACGATGAGGGTGACAAATGTGGACCAGGATTTTAATCAGTTGCCTTTTTCTTAACGCAGGAAAAGCCTCTGTTCAAGTTTTTCCAGATCAGTATCCAGCAATCACAGCAGGAGACAACCTCACGTTGACCTGCAACGTCAACGATGAAACAATAAATGTAACTTGGAAAAAAGATGGAGACTCACCACCTGAAAGAGCAAAGATTGATACACGATTCGATGACAAAAAGAGTACATTTGCTGTAACTGAAGTTGTGAAGGAGGACAGTGGTGTGTATTCTTGCGAGGGACGTAACAAGCTCGGTTTTGTTGACCGTTCCTTTGTAAAAATAAACATCAAAGGTAAGCTGGTGTTACTGTTGTGTCCTTAAAAGGCATAAAACTTTACTAATTGAAAAATATATTTCCAAACAGATTAAAACTATTTTTCAGTTAAAGACGAAACAAATGTGGGTCACATGGCCCATTTGCATGAAATTACCTTGCATCGCTCTGTGAATTTCAGTTATTTTGCTTCTAAGAGCAGGTGTCAATCAAGGGTTAAAGAATGTGCCAAGCTATTTCAAAGCTATTCCAAACAACTTGAATTTTGTCAGTACTTTTACTACTGTCGAGATTTGTCTAATGGCCATATATTTATCTTACACAATTAGCGAAGCAAGTGCCACGAGCTATGCAAAGTTTCAATACTTTGTGGTATTACATTGGTGGATCAGTGGCGGCAGCGACTGTCATCTCGCTAATTGCCTGGTATTTCTGTAAGCGTCGAAGGACAGGTGACGTTCATTTTTCTGTGTTATTTCAGACTTCTTTGTCTGAAAGTAAAAGGAGGAAATGTTTAAACTTATTTGACATGTCTGCTGGGGAACACTGAGCTAAGAGTCTAAGAATAGAGATATTTTTATAAGAATTACCCGTGTCCGGCCAAAAAATGCTAATTGTAGAGTTTCTTCACATCTGTGTATGTTTTGATAACAATTATGAATTCAGCAAATAACACGTCACTCCTAATTTGTGAAAATTCAAATTATCAGTACTGCCATTACACAGAAATTTTATCAGAATATTCGATTTAATAAATTAATGCAAAGTTTTACCTTCTTTATCCCCTTTAATTCACCATTTGGAATTGCAGCTATGGCTCTGTAAGTCAACTATTTTACCTTTTATTCATCAAACTCATCGAAAAAAGAAAAAAAAAAACTACACCATTACCATGATGACGATAACAAAAATCATATCGCTGTGACTTTACTTTTATCGTGTTTATGATGCATTATTAACATTCATAAAGTGTTGTTAGAATCAGCTTCGTTAGTTCCTTTGTTTAATTTTTTTATCTCATTAGTATCTTCCATCTATTTTCAGTCAGATTAATTCATAGATTTAATACTTTGAAAAAAAATTGAAATGCGCGTAAAATTTTCTGATTTTAAAACCAACTGTTTCTTGTTTGATTTTAACAAACGACGAAGCTATTGTTCAACTTCATCCGATTGACAAAGTGTATTTAAATAACAATAACTACTAATATGTTTTATACTGATTTATGCTCCTGGTTTAGTAGAAACATTGTTTTCTCACTATCGGGAAGAGAGATTATCTCGCCAATCAAGTTATCCTGGCAAATCAATTTTTTTACCCTCTGATTTCTCTTTTCTTTATATCTCTTTTCTTTTTTTTTGAACCTGAAAGTATACAATGTTGATTTCCTATATTTAGTCCTGATCAAGAGCAGGCAATTCAGATGGAGCCATTGAATGCAGAGGTAGATGAGTGGGAGGTTGCGGTTAACCGTGTCCTGCTACAAGATGTCATTGGACGAGGGGCGTTCGGAGCCGTGTGGAGAGCTCTCCTGAGTTCACCAAATGGACAACCTGGAAATCGGACAGTGGCCGCTAAATGTTTCACGCGTAAGCCTCCTTAAATGTGTTCTATTGATAAATATGTTGATCTCAGGGGTGGTTATAAAAATGTTTTATTTGGGGAGGGGGTGGGGGAGGGAAGGGGTGGTCCAAAATTCCTTCCCGACCGACGCACAACCCCCTCTTCTTCACTCAAGGCTACGCGTGGGAAACAAAAAGAGAAGGCGGGGGGAGGAGCAAACAAACAAAGAAGATAATAAACCAGTTTGCTGCAATAATTCTTGTTTCCAACAAGTAGTGTAAAAGGTCACAATGTGCAACATCCCCCCCGGGGGGTGTTGCAAATACGTTGGTTCCTCCCTCTTGATCCGCTGCTGAATCCAGTAGGCTTTTTTTCCCTCCCTTTGGACCTATTCCCCTTATTAGTGACTGATTATCACGGGTTGAAGGGGGCAGTCTAACAGACTGACTACACGGTGCTTTTCGCTGTCAAAAGACATTTACCGAACCAAAGTGAAGCATCTGCATTGAGAGTAAAACTAAAGAAAGCAAGAACTATTGATAGGATTCAAACCTCAACTGGTTTCGATTCGGCCTTTATACTGACAGTCAACTCAGCCGTGGCTGAGGTCAGAGAGTTGGGCAATCTGCTAGCTGCGAAAATTATCATTCAAACGGTAATAGAAAGATGCGAGGTTTGTAACTCTTCCGGATTCTTTCTGGCTTGAACTTGCGTGGAACAAATGCATTAATCAGAATGTGTCTTAATTAATTTATACTTTTGTTGTAGCCACTGCTGGAGAGGAGGGAAGAATATGTCTGATGAGGGAAATTGAGCTGGGGAAACTTATCGGTGAAAACGTTCCGCCAAACATTGTAAAGTTCATGGGCTGTGTTACGAAAGAAAGTAAGTACTGAGCGTACAGCATCTTGTCTAGGTATATGTTATTAACGATGGTACAAATGCTGAATAAACCCTCTCAGGACCTCTTAACATGAGTTCCGTAAATAAAATGTTAATGGAACGAAGTTTCTTTTTTTTTTGTGGCAACTAGACTGTTTTTCTCCAATAGCATGTATCCATCGGCAGTTTACTAAGATCTCGGTCGGATAGCCTGAAATCTCGTTAAATGGGCTAACCGGCTTTCTCCCTTTAACCTATGGCAAATTTTTAAAAGTAAATTCTGATGAGGGTTGATAACGAAAAATGAGTCCTTCGTGTAGGCTAAACTGCTTATGAAGAAAGTCATACGGAATTTTTTTTTTTATATACAGTAAGGAGCCTTGACGTAGGTTTATTTACTTTTTCTTTTGTTTTACGTCACTTAAGTTCACCCAATACTCATCATGGAGTACATGCCATGTGGTGACCTGCTTGGTTACCTGAGAAAATGCCGAGGGGTGAGGGATCGGTATTATCTTGGTGAGGGAAGAGCCCAGGATTTGACCAACTACGATCTTGTGATGTTTGCCAAACAAATCGCCGCCGGCATGGTGTTCCTTGGAACGCGAGGGGTAAGTAGATTACTTTTCACGTGTCAATTCTAACTCAGAAAAATCTTTCAGAGATTTAAACTTTTATTTTTCAGTAGCTCGGATTTTGGCAAACATATTTGAGTCCTTTTGAATTTAGATAAAACCTCTAAGACCTTTTTTAGCCATGATGCTTTTTGTTGACATTAACAGGTCACAGTAGATGTCAACAAAATAAGTCAAAAGACATGAGAGTAAGGTTCATAATTCGGTTGCCGAACTATGATTATCTGGAATGGTATAAGATTAAGCTTATGCAGCTGTCAAAGATCGAGTATGCGCTGATGCTTCATTTTTGCCGTTCGAAAGTAGTGTGAACAATATATATATATATATATATATATATATATATATATAATATAGGAAGTCTGCAAGTCGATTTTCGCGTGGACAGTGCTCAATACGTTGAAGCAGAGCAGAATAAATATTATGAGAGGAAAAAACGACGCAACTACATATCCCAACAAGCCTGTTTCAGGATATGTAGTTGCGTCGTTTTTTCCTCTCATAATATTTATATACATAATATATATATATCTGAAAGTTGGACAAATCAATAAGACAACTTTTCTCTGACTCTGAGTTTCACGCTTACGCGATCATCAGACAAAAAGTGGTGTGAAAAAAAAAAAAAAATATATATATATATAATATACATATATATATATCTGAAAGTTGGACAAATCCATAAGACATAACTTTTCTGTGACTCTGAGTTTCACACTTACGCGATCATCAGACAGATCAAACTCGTAAAGTTATGTCCTATTGATTTGTCTAACTTTCAGATATTCCGCGCTTTGCGAACGCATCGAGCACCATACCGCAAGGATAGACTATAATCAAGGTTTATTATATATATATATATATATATATATATATATATATATATATGAGGGTTGACCTTATCACTGAGAAATAACTTTCTGTGACCCAGAGTTCTAAAATCTGTCTAATGTCGCGTAAGCGTGAAACTCAGAGTCACAGAAAAGTTGTCTTATGGATTTGTCCAACTTTCAGATATATATATATATATAAATATTATATATATATATATATATATATATATATATATTATTCACACCACTTTTTGTCTGATGATCGCGTAAGCGTGAAACTCAGTCAGAGAAAAGTTGTCTTATTGATTTGTCCAACTTTCAGATATATATATATATATATATATATATATATTATGTATGTATATAAGTCTTATTGATTAGTTCAACCTTCAGATATACCCACGCTCTGCGAACGCATCGAGCACCATACCGCAAAGATAGACTATGACAAAGATTTATATATATATATTCATGTACAAACCTTATTGCGACACTTAAAAAAAAGGAATAAAGGGAAAAATGGAACTCCCTAGAAATCTGTAAAAGGAAACTAAGGTAAAGAGAGAACCATCTGTGTTTTTCTTTTTTGGAACACAACGGGTCCTCTGTTGGTTTACCATTTCTAGATTTCATTTTATTATCATAATTATTATGATTATTAGCATAGTTATTACTGTTATCATTATTACTGTTATCATTATTATTGTTATCACTATCGTTATTTTCGCTGTTGTAAAATTTTCTTTTTAATAAAAAAGTAGAAATCTTGGTTTTGTCAGCATTAAATCATTATATGGGGCCGACTTAGTTTGAGCCCTTTTTTCGTTCGAATATACTCAGACGTTTGATTCGCCGCTGCACTATATAAACCTATCGTTTCTTAGCTTTTATATTCTGGCTCCTTATCTTCTGATAGATTATCCATCGTGACCTGGCGGCTCGAAACGTTCTCCTTGACAAAAACTATGTTTGCAAAGTGACGGACTTTGGTATGGCATATCAAAGCTTCAAGTATGGCCATGGAAATGCCAAAAAGGTAGAAAACACTTTTTTGTTGCTTCAGTGCGGGGTTTTTCTGGAAAAAAGTTGTAAGCGTAAGCATATTCTCTGCATAATGTTAATGTACCTCGACTACCAACAGGGTTTCATAGCTCACTTTGAATTAAAAGAAAGAAACAAAACAAAACAGAGGTAGAAATAAACAGAATGAATACTCTGGCCTGGGCATCGGGATATGTCAATTTCATAAACTTTTATTGTAAAGTCTCGCGAGAGGAGTTACATTTTTCTGTTTTCCGTGACAGCTTTACAAAGGCTAACATTAGATTGACCTATAAGGGAACCAGAAATTTAGCTTTCTTTTCTCATTGAAACATATTTACATTATGCAGCTTCATATTTTTTTAAAGATGCCTTTGAAAAAAAAAAAGGACATAAGTTTTGTACGGCAAACGTTTATTGGTTGTTTCTCCAGGGATGTTTGCCAATCAAATGGACTGCACCAGAGATTCTGCTGGGAGAACTTGCTGGACTTTCTACCTTGAGTGATGTGTATGTATAGATATGTATATTAATCCACCAAACTAACGAAATGACTATCTTTGGATTTTTCTTTATCAATTCACGTTCAAAATTCACTCAGCGATTAATTGTAGAATATTTCTGATATGCTCTTGCCAGGTGGTCCTATGGAATCGTTCTGTATGAGATAGTTACCCTTGGTAAGCCAAGCTATGTTCAGTCAATACATTTAACGCTTAGAACAGCAATGCGCAAGCGCTATAGAAGTGATGCTATTTTAATTACTATTATTTTAATAAAGATTTGTTTTTACTTACTCCTTGGCCATTCATCACTGTAAAATTCTTTAAGCTAATTCTTTAGTTCTTACGTAATGTTCCTTCCTGTAACTTAGTTGTGACACGGTCTCTGTAGAGTTGATAACTTAAGAAATGTGACATGCACTCGTCCTTATCCTTTGACAGGAGGAATTCCGTACGACAGATGGTCAGAAGGCATGGTGGTTGCAGAGGTCACCAAGGGATATCAGATGCCAAAGCCCGATCATGTTGATAACAAACTGTGAGTTGCACTTTTTTAGCATAATACCAACGTGTTCCTAAAAATAACCTAAGATCCAAGACGACACATTTTAACGTTCTCATTGCTGAAATCTTTGCAATAAAGCAACTGAACTACAATCATATCAGTAGGTTTCCGTTATGTGAATGTGAACCAGGAGCATACCGTATTCAGCGAGATGCGGCGTGGACAATTATGACATTAAAATGTATTTGAAAAACATTAGAGGAGTGTAGTAGTGCGATATGTTCAACGTCCCAGAACATGCCTAAACCATTGCCTATACTATTTTCAATAAAAGGACAAACCTTAACCATTGCCTATACTATTTTTAATCAAAGATTCCTGTAGGAGGACCTTACTGGTATTCTTTGCACAATCCATAAAAAGGTAGTTAAGAGTATGCCATGATTGTTAAATTTCAGGTATGATATCATGAAAAGGTGCTGGAACCGTAACCCTGACTTCCGTCCTCCTTTTGAAAGCCTGCGACAAAGAATGGACAAATACATTCGTGAAGAGGTTTGTTTCTAGAATTGACAACTTCCCCATACTTTATGCTTTTTAAAGACTCGAAAGACCTTGCCCCATGTGTTGGGAGCAATACTTGGTAGCTTTGGTTTTATTTCCGGTCGCTTTATAAAAGCTTCAGCTGAGACCATTCATACTTCTGGTAAGAGACATTTTCCAGCTCATCAGGCCATTTACGGGCATTTCAACTTGTTGGCTCCTTCTGATATTTATGGCGGTTGTTATCGTCCTCAGGGCATAAATCTGGTCAGTTCTACCCACCTACTTGCAACTTCTCTATTTTCAGAGGGGAAATAGGAAACTCACTTAGTATATCCGCGACTTTGAACCAAAGAGATTCTCAGTTCGCCGGGGAAGTGATCGCACTTTTCAGCTTGACTTTCCAGTGTTTTAGCGCTCTGCAGCTAATGTATTACCCTCATTTGTTACTTTTTTCCTAAGACATACGTGGAACTTCTTAACTTGGGCGCTTATGACAAGGCAAAATACTCCAGGGTTGAAGATCTCGGAGATGAACACGCAGGACCAAGTGAGGAAGTTGCAAAGACGGCCTCTGCTAAGAGATTGGGAAAATGGGCCAGTGACCGTCGTTAGGGTACATAATCGTCACTTCTCAGTGCTAAACTAAGTCAGTGTAGGTTTGTGTTAGTTAAATTTCTCTCCATATAAGTATTAGGAGAATATGCGAAAGCTTTGTCATTGATTAAAAAAATGATAGTAATAAAAGCACAAAAAAACCAATGAATTAATTCTTAAAGAATGCTAATAATAAATAATTTAATCGGTTTCAGAATACGGAAAATTGGATAGATATGAATTAATCTTCCGTTATCACAAAAATAAGAAGAGAAAGAAAGAAAGAAACAAAAAACAGCCAACTTGAAAAACAGCTCGTTTCTGCAGATAGCTGTAATTTGCAAACTTTTCATTGTTGTATTGTGAAACCATTTAGTAAATTTGTTTGTGGCAGACCTAGTAAGAGATCTCCTGAAATTTGGTAATATTTTGTAGTTCGGTAATGAATTAGTCGTGTGGTATTAATTAGCACCGAGGTATCACTTAACGAAGTATCTTCTTTAAATTATATATTGCATCACTTCTGGTGATTTGTTCAACTTTCAAGTTACTTTTATTTGAAAACAAGCGATTGCACTGTTATTGATAATTAACATTTTGCTCCTAGTATCAAAGGCTTTTGTCATAAACGGAGAGAACCGTCTTAATAGAGTGTGAGTTAATCAAATTAATAATTTTCTTAAGTGTATTCTATTTGTATGAGAAAAAAAACGCCATTTAAAGGGTGCGTACGGTGGTAAACGGAAAAAATTTTGTTATGGCAAAATGGAATGCTCGTTTAAAAACTTGACGAAATGAGAGCACGTATGAGCGTTTAATTTTTGTCACAATTTCCAAACACAATAAGTTGTATCGAACATAATGTAAAACACTCTATTTAATATCTGCAATAAAAAGACTAGAGGCTTATCTTATGACTATTTATTGATTAACAAGTCAATTTAGATTGTAACCATTCCGTATCCTCATTAAACTTTTGGATGACGTCATTAGGCTGAAGCGATGGCCGCATCTACAAAATAGCATTTCCATGTATATCACTAAATGAAATATTCGCATTCTCAGCTTTTCACACCTGCGGACGAAGCTATAGATGGTTGTGTTGTTGATGCATACTTTGCTGGTCTGTTTAGAACTGTGTGTTTGTCTAAGGAGACCTTCAAGTTTGTCATCATAATAACAAAGGAGTCAGTTAGGATTTGTCGATGTTTCGCAGTAATGAAATACACTGGCAGTGGAAGAAAGAGCAATATTTTTTTAACTTATTCGACAATTTCAAGACTCAATAGAAGGATAAGTTGTAAATGCCTCTGTTATCAATGTTCTGATCCACAGTATTGCTGAGGCGTTTCAATCCAGATTGACTGACAAGGCATATATTTCTGCGATTTATCTTTCCTCTGATACAATGCTATGCCGGCCAAAGACAATCGCAACTTTTTATCATTTAATAGAATTATTATTACCATTATCATTATTATTGTTATTATTATTATTGCTATTTTTTATATTATTGTTTATCTAATCAATATTGTCTTTTTTTATTAACGATTCATCGCAGCTTATGAATTATCATCTCAGATCCAACGTGTAGCCTTGTAAACCTCGGAGTGTAAATAATAGAAGAAATCTAAGTAACCACATGAGGAAGTGCTTTATGAAATTTCCCACGACCTCGAGTCAATCTGGACTTGAATTGAAAAAAAAGCGACTTTTTTTCGAATTATCAATTTGTTTCATGTTTGTAAAGTTGGCATATCTTTCTAAAGAACATTCGATTAATTTCCTCAAAACAGAAATTAGTGAAATGTATAACTTAGGTAACTACCAGACAAACGCAAAAAAAAAATGAAAAAAACATAGGTAAATACATACAATGAAGCACTGACGGACGTGGAGATGATTACAGTTTGTCTCACTTCCTTTCTTACTTTTTTTTCCGAACAAACGCCTGCAAATCCCACGAGGATAGCAACAGTAAAATATCTGGGAGTGGGGGGACAAATGACACAAACCGTCATGACGAGCTTTGCGTCGGAAAAAATTTTTATGCAAATTAGCTGGCTGCACATTCAATTCACATTAAAGTCCAGAAACTTTGTTGATTAGATAATTCAGAGAATACACATCGCTTTCAACTGATGGTCTCCCCGTTCGGTCTACAAGCTTCGGCGCAAAGCAATTATTCTTATAATGACCTTTTATGTGCGAAGGTTTCAGTTTGGAACGGCATTTTTAGCTTTTCCGAAGACATCAGTATTGCCAAAATTGACTATAACAGGGGAGAAGCTGGTCTAAAACATCGTTATTGCACTTTAGGTTATTGGGAACAAATTCACACGTATGAATATCGTCTTACGCGACTCCCGAGTTAGGAGGGATAAGAAAAGGTTAAAAATAACCCTCAGGTATACACTACCCAAGAGGGTATGCAAGAGATTAAAAATAACCCTCAGGTATACACTACCCAAGAGGGTATAGGAGATATTAGGAATAACCCTCAGGTATACACTACCTAAGAGGGTATAGGAGATATTAAGAATAACCCTCAGGTATACACTACCCAAGAGGGCATAAGAGAGATAAAGTATAACCCTCAGGTATACACTACGTATACCCAAGAGGGTATAGGAGAGATTAAGAATAACTCTCAGGTATACACTACGTATACCCAAGAGGGTATAGGAGAGATGAAGAATAACCCTCAGGTATACACTACCCAAGAGCGTATGCAAGAGATTAAAAAACCCTCAGGTATACACTACCCAAGAGGGTATAGAAGAGATAAAAAATAATCTTCAGGTATACACTGCCCAAGAGGGTATGCAAGAGATTGAAAAAACCCTCAGGTATACACTACCCAAGAGGGTATAGAAGTGATTAAAAATAACCCTCAGGTATACGCTACCCAAGAGGGTATGCAAGAGATTAAAAATAACCCTAAGGTATACACCACCCGAGAGGGTATAGAAGAGATTAAAATAACCCTTAGGTATACACTACCCAAGAGGGTATAGAAGATATTAAAAATTAATCCTCAGGTATACACTACCCAAGAGGGTATGCAAGAGATTAAATGTAATCCTCAGGTATACACTACCCAAGAGGGCACGAAAAATTGAATTCCCACTATTTTATATCAGGAAACCGCACTTTGTCTGGACTCTTTCTTTTGACTGAAAGTTGAGGCATCCACCATTAACTTATATAATTATTATCCTTTACTAGTTCCCGAATGTCATTGTCAAGCTCGGCTATTCTTGACTGACATCATTGAAATTTCTCATGATATTTCGATTGGAGGCATTTCCCGCCTAAAGTGTACGGTCGAGGGCGATTTGATTTACCGTATCAACAACAAGATTATGCTTTGAGACCTCTCGAATCCATCTGCTGGATTTCTCCTTGTCTAATTAGTTCGGCACAGAGACCAATTGAAGATACAACATGCATGTTGTTTGGTTACCTGGCGTTGAACGAACAGCCTTTGTTGGCGCGCTTGAGACCTGCTGGCGGGACAGAACACATTGTAGTCATCGCGGAATCGATGAAACAATACGTTCTTTGCAAAAGTTTTCGGCCTGATTTCACATTACCTTTTCGTTAGCACATACCAGTACTTTTTGGGGTCGAGATTGGATCCCGTAACTGTAGAAAGCTCAGCCGATCGATCGAAGACTTCGGCCTCCATGATAAGATCGCGCCAAGTGATTTCAATGCCAGATTTCTTGTGTTTTCGTAATTGAAATTCGAGCATAGATGAAGTATTAATTTTTAGGTGAACCTTTAACTTATAATCAACAGGTTTAGGTAACCGCATGGACACCTACCGACCGCAAACGTCGATGTAATTCTCTACACTGATGACGGAAATATAGCGCCTCCTTAGAATGCATGCTGCGAATTTTTTTCGGGGCCAAAGCTCCTCATGATATATATCACGGAAAAAGGAGAATCCTAAAAGTGTGAAAGATACCAACTTGACCATCAGCATTCTAAAAGTGCGTGCGAATCTAACTTAAAAATCCAATGAAAAAGAATCCAAAAAGCGTGCCTGATCTTAAAACAAAAATCCAATCTAAGAGAATTCTGAGAGTGCGCAAGATATCAACGTAACAATTGAATGAAAGAAAATCTTAAAGGTTTAAGCGATTCTTACTTAGCAATCCAACGCAAGAGAATCCTAAAGGTACGCGAGATATCAACGTAATAATCGAATTTAAGCCAAACCTAAAATGTGCAAAATACTAATAAACCTTTCCAATGAAGGAGTAGCCCAAGAGTGCATGACATTCTAATGCAACACTTCTATGAAAAAGAATCCTAAAAGTGTGCAAAGTATTAAGGTAAGAAATCCAATGGAAGAGAATACTAAAAGTGCAAGAGATATTAACGTCACAATAGAATGAAAGAAAATCCTAAAGATGTGAAGGATACTAAAAATTCAAATGAGTCGGCGCTAGGTTATCTTCATGCGAGGTTTATTCAATCTTTTTTTTTCAATAAAATCTCCCCTCTGGTTCAATGAGTCGAAAAAACGGGTTCAGTAAATTGGTATCCAAATTTCACAAGTGATAATTTTCTGAAGCACCCGGAAATGAAATGAAAATTGAAATGAAAAGAAAAAAAAATTAAAGTGAAGATATAGAGGACATCTTTACCACGTTACGTTAAACCACATTCAAAGAAGGAAAAGATGGATCGGTAACACAGATAGTTAAAATCTTGTTTTCATCAATTATTATGTGAAGGGGAAGGTGAAGATGAGATGGATCAGCTGAACGCAAACACAGATGGATGGGAGATTGCAGTTGACCGCCTGAACCTTCGCGAGCCTATTGTCAAAGAGGCATTTGGCTCAGTGTGGCGAGCGCTACTGGGTCGTTCGACAGCGGCAGACCTGGAAATCGCACAGCTGCTGCTAAATGCTACTTACGTAAGTACTTTTTTTTAGGTCTTTCTTTCGTACAAAGCTTGATTGAACTATCCTTTATTAATTTTTTGTGTGTTTCATCTCAATAACGAATATTTCTCTTAGAACGTGCTTTATTAACCTACCTGATACATAACATGGATAGCTTAAAAACTATGCGCTCTAATAATTTACCAGCTGGCATGTCAAACTGTTAGCGGATGGTTCCCCGGGGGACCAGTTGTTAAGTCTTTTGTCATACAACGCTACTAAAATACAACAAAACACGAATATCATTTGGAGTATTAGAAGCTGTGGAGAAAAATGAAAATTTATTGACTAAATTGCATTCAAGTGTATAAAAGCGGAAATACTACAATACTAAAAATGTCACTCCGTCGTATATTTTGCAAAGTTGCCCGCTTAGAAACTTTTGATGGAAAATAATGTCATGAGATCTCAAAGAAACCTTGAGAGAGTGAGTCTAGCGAAAAAAACTCGAAACAATTTGCCAGACTAGTGGTGGCAGTATAATCTTCTTCCGCTGGAAAAGCTGAAAATCACAATGCAGTGGAACCTGTATGAAGCGGTCACCTTGTAATAGGCGGTCAGTTTTGAAAATCCCGAAACTTTCCCACTTTACCTATAGTACTTTTTATATCAAGCGGTTGTGGTCACCCTTTACTAAGTCCCAACAACCTGTTTGTAACGTTCCCCACCTTTATTGAACGGTCACTAAAGCGGAAGTACTCAAATTAAATTAAGAATAATCTTTCAAGTAAAATTAAATCCATGTTTATCTCCCGAAATCAATGTTAGTAACATTTTTGAGCGAGAGGTTGTGTAGGTTATGTGGTCCGTGATGGCATAGAATGGCGTATTTTAACTTTTATCAGCCCTATTCCGTGGAACCTATGTTAAACGGTCAACCATTTTCCGTGCGTGACCGCTAAATACAGGTTCAACTGTAACAAGCTTACAGAGTCAAATGAATTTACAATAACTCTGGGAGTGCTTACGAATTATTGCAGCTTTTAATAAGATAAAAGCAAGGATTATGTAATTTATGAACGGTAGGAAACAAGAAGGTGCAAACAGAGCATATATTTAAAAAAAACTGTCTCAAATATCTATTCGACCGACTATTAGGTAGGTTACCGGTCACCTCGCCACCAAGCAGACTCGCCACCAGCGAACTCGCCACCAAGGAACGATCTCGCCACCAACGTACTCGCCACCAAGCGAAGTCTTCTCGCCACCAACCACCAATAAAGAGATAAACTAGAATAAAGTAGTCGAGGAGAGTAGGATGTTCGAACGAGCACAATTCAAATCGGCCGATACGTTTGTGCGCTTGTCTGTATTTAAATTATGACCTTCAGCGACGTGTTAGATGTGTTCCGTTCCTAACTCATTGACATCGAAACGTATCGTGTTTGTCTTTTGCACGTAAGCGAGGAGAAATTGCAAAACTCGATGCGAGGAATAAAAACTTACTCAATATTCGGTCGAATTATATTACCCAGTTTCCCCGCGGCAAAATAACAACAAACTTTTTTGAATATTAAATCTGGAAGAGCAGCTCATATGAGTTTTCTAATGTACTTGTAGGTACGGCTGTCTGCGCGGTAGGCTGGCTCCAATCCCAACTCTTGAACCTTATTGAAAAAAAGGAAAACAAATTTTCAGAGATATCGGTTTCGAACGTGCTTTCGACAACATACGTTTATAAAGTTTGAGTACAGACTTATCAGCCGAACATCCTACTGTCCTCGACTAATCTCTTTATTGGTGGTTGGTGGCGAGAAGACTTCGCTTGGTGGCGAGTACGTTGGTGGCGAGATCGTTCCTTGGTGGCGAGTCTGCTTGGTGGCGAGGTGACTGGATACCATTAGGTATTATGGAAGATGGAATTTCATTGCGTTTCTACTTTTGTAAGTTATCTGTAAACAATTGTGCCGTTCAATGAGCTTGACTAGTTAATAACAATGTTCGAGATGAGCAGCGTGTTTTTAACAAATAATTTTTTCAACGAGGATGAATCTATTTTGCAAATTTCATGTTCAATACAATTGAACAATACGGCTAACTGACATTTTTGTGGCAAGTTGGATTATATGGAGTTTAGTAAACTTTTTTTTTTATGTAGACCAAATGCATGATAATTTGCGCCGGTACTATAACACCAAGTATACAACAATTCTAGATGTGGATGTTTACCACATAATTGTGTCTCTCTCGACATGCAAAGTTTGTTTGTTTACATAATTTTTGTGCGGTTTCCTAGCAATCTCCGGAGAGGGAGGAAGGAAGGAAGGCCCTGCTGAGAGAGATCGAGTTACCAAAACTCTTTGGAAGGGAGGGCCATGAAAATGTTGTTAAGTTAATTGGTTGAGTTACAGTTGGATGTAATCAGCTACTGTTATGATTATAATCAGCTAATTCACAGTAACGATAAAAACATATCTGAGGCCAACCACCGGTACAATTACTTCTATCAGAATTGCTAGTCCTTGCTAAGATGGTGTACTAGTTCAATGGTTATTTCCAATTGTTTGACTGTTTTAAATAAATTTACTTCGCACTGTATGAAGGGCATTTTACTTGGAAGATGTTAGCTCTAAAATCTACATGCTAATTGTGATAAAAGCTTTAACTTACGATGGCAAGTCTTTGTCTTTTTATCTGCCATCTCTGTTTTTTTCTGTCTGTCTGTCTGTAGATTTCTATCTGCCTTATGTGTCCGTCTATTTTCTATCTGCGTGTTTTCTTCTTTCACTTTCCCTCTCTGTCTCTACTTTGATTCATTACAGATATAACCTAAGGTATAACTAGATAAAGCATGTACATTTCAAACACGTTTTGGAACTTCTGCACTGCTTGCCGTAAAATAATTTTCTTGTTTTTCCCTTTTAGCTCAGCCAATACTTATCATGGAGTACCTGTGGCGAGGTGACTTTCTGGGTTATCTCAGAAAATCCAGGGGGGTTTTCGACCAATATCATCATGGGGTCGGAATGGTCGACCACTTATTAACATGACATGGTACTGTTTGCTAAACAGATCCAATGTCAATACAAAAATTAAAATGAAAAGTTGTTGCGTCGAATAAAGAATACGGTGGATTTTTCATCCCAGAATTCGTTTGGGCTGCAATGTAATGAGATAAACTTAGCATTTCAGGTATTTTTGTAACTAGTTGTGGTTTCTCAACTTTGCTATTGCAATGCCTATCGCGGATTTACTGTAATCATATGTCCCTGTATTTTTCTATAGATACGCGGTGATGTTAAAGTGCTGGAAATACGAAAGGGCCAGCTGGCCACACTTTGTGAAGCTCTACCAGACAATGGATACATACATTAAAACGAAGGTTTGCCATACAGCGTCTAATTTAGAATATACTTCAGCAATTGAAATTGGTGTCCTACCAAGTCAGTTGCGAATTTCTTTGTTCGTCAATAATGTGATGTCAAAACGCATTAACCACCCAGCCGCTAACAATTTGTGAATTCAGTTTCATTATGAACCAATGTTACTTTTAAACATACGCAAGTGTGGTTACGTCATGTCAGTCTGGATCATCCTTATTTTCCCTCTGTTGTCTACACACAAGAAAGAGCGGAACAGTTCTTAAAATAACACTTTTGGAAAACTTTGACAGAAAGGAAGACCTTACCTGACTTTTATTCTTATCAATTCATGCAAGTACTAATGGTTCTTGTCTTTGTGATTGATATCTGATCTGCTCTTTTTTTTCTTTTCAGTGACTCATTTTTGGAATTTCTTTATTGAATTTTTGAAATTCATTCGTTGAAGATTTTTTAACTCATGCAGTTCCTGATTACCTTCTAATCTTTTTCATAGACATATGTAGATATCTTTGACGATGACAAGTATGATCAGGATAAGTACAACTTGGTCGATGACCGCAAATCTCAACGATGAAGTGGGTGAACAAGATGCTACGGCACATCCTCTTGTGGTTGCAGTGGACGATGATACTCCAGCTTTCCCTACTGGAATTAACATAGGAGACGAAGGAGCACCTGCAACAGATCCCGACCGTGAAGTGGGTGAACACGGTGCTACGGCACATCCCTTTGTGATTGCAATAGACGATGGTGCTCAAGCTTTCTCTTTCGCTATTAACGTACGAGAGAAAGGGGCAGCTGCAGCAAATCTCGCCCATGAAGTGGGTAAGCACGGTGCTGCTGCACATCCCTTTGTGATTGCAATTGACGATGGTGCTACAGCTTTCCCCTTCGCTATTAACTTACAAGACAAAGGGGCAGCTGCAGGAAATCTCGCCCGTGAGGTAGTAAGCACGGTCTTACGGCACATCCCTCTATGGTTGGAATTGACAATGGTGCTACAGCTTTTCCTCTCGGAATCAAAGTAGAAGACGAAGGTTGCGCAGCATACCCTTTTGAGAGTGACAAAAAAGATATGGATGCCCAAACGTACCCTTGGAGAATGATACTTTACCAAACCTTAGCGAGAACGAGGAAGAAGATGTTGATGACTCCGACTGCCCTCTCGCGATTGAGGAAGAAGAAATTGATGACTCCGAGTGCCCTCTTGCGATTGAGGAAGAAGAAATTGATCCTTTACCATCCTCCCTGGTGATGGACGAAAACGGTCTAGCTGCTTCAGCATGTCCCCTTGTGACTGACGAAGAAAATTCTGATTCTTTAGCATGCCCCCTTGTGGTTGAGGAAGAAGATTCCAATAACTCAGCATGCTTCCCTGTACCTGGGGAAGAAGATTTGGAAGCCACAGGATGCCTTTCTCTTACTGAAAAAGAAGATCCTACCTCTTTCGCACGCTCCGCAAATGAGGTGAACAAACCCGATGCCTCACCATTCCCTTGTGTGATTGAAGAAGAAGATCTTGATTCTTTAGAATACAATCCTCTGGTCGAAAAAGAAGGCCTCAGTGATTCCGTCTTCCCTCCAGAAATTCAAACTGATGACGAAGAAGGTGTAACAAGTGAACCTGAAAATACCGTTGGTTATGAAGGTGCTATAGCAGTTCAATCAGAAAAGGAGGCAGTAGAAGAAGGACCTAAGACTTTCCAACTAGAGTACACGAAGGATGAACAAGACGATCCTGGAAACTATATGGACGGCCAAAGTGATGCTGTAGACCTTTTTGACGGAGACGCTGGCGTACAAGAGTATGATGGTAATCAACTTACTGCTGCGGATATAGACGAAACTGGAAGTGACGAAGACGAGGAGTCATCTGAAGCAACTCCTCTTGTGCAGGACTGAGGCGTAATAGAAGAATTGCTGAACCTCTAAGGTTGTAGTCTTATAACACTCTGTGGTAATTTGTAGTTTAGATTTCGAGAATTTCAGCCTCAATATTTCATAGTTTTTGATTTTAAGACGTAGGTTCTATCGTACTTTTACCTAAGTAATGCTTCGGTAGTGATGATAACCATTTTCATAGTTTATAAATGGAGGTTAAGTGGAATTTCCTTCAAAGAAAAACTTGTTTATTTACTTCACTTTTGCATTTCTTAGTTTACCGTTTATTCACTTGGCGCACTTGTCAGTGTTTGGTTGATGTTATTGACTGTAGGCTGATAGAGACAAAAAAAAAAACAAAAAAAAAAGAAATTGCTGTTAAGATAATTTTTATAACTGATCAAGTCAGAAATGCTGGGTAAGTTTATGAGTCTTGTTCCTAGTATAAGTAATATTTCCTAATCTAATTAAGAATAATTTACTTGTTGTAAAACACTCCCTAAATGCTTCAATAAACTTATATAAGCTAAACTCGTTTCGTTTACTCCATTCATTGCAGCAAAATTGCTGGTCTGGATCTAACTGTAGATTTGAAGGACACCATAAACTAAAATGACATCTGGCCTCCTTCAAAGAGTAAGATTGACGAAAATCCAGTAGCGCTGCGTTAGTTCTGATTAGTGTATATATTTTTCTATTCCCAGCTTACGCTCGCTTAGCAACCAGAAGTAGCATATTTTCAAAACATTATTTACCCAATACATTTATCCTTTTTGTAGACAGCTACTGACTCACCGGCCTTTTCAATCGAGTTCTCTATTCCAAGTTGTTAATTAGATAGGTGGTATTAAGCTGATTAGTCTTGAATGTTGTTATTTCACATCACTGCTTCTAATCATTGTCTGAGAAAAGTGTTTTAGAAGTTTGAAACATAAATGACTCCATTGTGATGATTCTTAGTGCAGAAGTTGGCCTAAGGCAGATATTCCAAGTGCCTAGGAAGCATTATTTTTTACTTGTTATCTCCCCAGTTTCAGGCATTTTGGCGTCTCGGGATATTGTGTTTGAATATTGTTGATACTAATCGTGCCTTCCTGGTGCACTATGTCAGCAAATATGTCGAGTTTAATCAAGCAATAGATGGCGCTTTCGAGAAACACAGACGAGCTAATATAATAATGGATCCTCATTAAGTCATTTTTCAATTTTGTTTTTTTCACGAGCACTTACATATGACGCTAACATTGCCTAACCCATTGCTTCAACTTTCATCGTGAGAAGTACTGTGCTATGATTTTTAGAGAAATAGGCAACGGCAGTTATTTTCTTACTGTCCGTCGTTGTGTTTTTTGACATGAGCAAGGTCTTTGACAAAATAAACGAGGGCATTTCGGCGTGGCTTAGTTCATCATTAATCCATCTGATAGAAAACAAAATCATCTAAGTGCCGGTGGCTAGGGGTAAATATTTACATCTCCGCTTGGCAGCTTGGTAAATATCCACCACCAGTTAACTCTACCTTGGTGAAGAGTTAAGACAGGGCGTGAAATTAACTTTTTTTCTCTGATAGCCACTTGGCTACTAAATTCTTCAGAGTGGTAGCCAATTCAAAAAAAGTTGGTCGCCATTTTCAAAGACAAACAAAATCTTTCTTTACGCTGTCAGCTTTCTGGATAGACCCTCCAAAATTAAGTTAGGGAAAAGATCTTTAACGTGCTACAAAGTGGACACCAGGATGGATGATATACAACCTTCAGGGCTCATCTAAATCCAAGATGGCGTCTAGTTATCGATCGAGATGCATGTGCTACGTTTTGGAAACAAACTAAACGAGGAAGTTTGCCGCGGATTTGTCTTTGAAAATCTTTTGAATTCACTATATCTCTTGGTAAGGTTATGATGAAACGTTCTAGTCGCCAATTTGGCGACTAACTTTCAGGATTTGGTCGCCAAAGTGAAAAATTTAGTCGCATTGGCGCCTGTATTAGGCGCAATTTCACGCCCTGTAAAAAAGAAATAATCATTTGATAAACTTTCAATAGGGCGATTGGCATCGCAACTTATCGTAATAATGCAAACACTTCCGAGAGGACAATATTGGAAAATGGATCATTTCTCTATCCATATCTTGTAAAATTAATGTCAATGAAGGAAATATAAATAAACTTGAAAGGTCTTGGCTGGCCACCAACATCAGCACCTGTACAACAACAACAACTGAAGTGTGTCAATAATCATGCGTTGTTACCCTTGGTGGTATCAAAACAAGCAGGCTGACAAATCTGTCAACCAAAAACGGTTTATTTATGCGACTAAGAATAAAGTATTTGAAAGCCTAATGACCCAATTTGCCAGTCTCTAGCCAAATACTATAACAGGTACCGATAAGTAAGCACGTAATACTTCTTAAAAACCGTCAGGAGGAGACAGATTTTGCCTTTCTGTGAGAGCGTAGCCGGTTTTAATGACTAAGCTACTGAGTCATTCATCACGCCCTTAAAACCAAGACTATTGTCAAAATGGCCTACATTATATTCTAGAGCTTGTGTGAATGATTTATTCGTATTACATCAATACACATTTTACGCTTTGTTTTTGGAAGCAGATGTGAACTGTTTGTGGAAAAAAAAAATTTTGTTGAACATTGATAAGGGCTGAGACGCGCGCTTGTGTTTTCATCATAAAGTTAAAGTTCAAGAGAACTTAAAGTTTGGCTAAATCTCGTTTTTTATTATTCTCGAATTTACTAATACCAAAATATAAGCCATTTAATTACCAATCAGCCATTTTTGTGGCTTCCTCAATTTGCGAGGTGTTTAATTTAGTCTTATTTGATATTCAAGCATGACGCATTTTAAAATAAAGGTTAGACATATTCATCTTGAGGTTTTTCCTCCTGATTGTGGGGAAAAGTCAGCTGAAAGAGGCCAAAAATGAAAAAGAAAGCAGTGGTTCACTGTGACTGTATGTATAGAGAAGTCAGCAATAACTGAGGCGGCGAAAAAGGAAAAGAAAATAACAACCTTACTTGTTTAAAAGCGCCGCCGGCAATAGGACAATAAAGGGGCCGCACAGATGTACGGGGTAGACTCTTTTAAGGTTTTATTCGACAAAGTTGCTTCGCACTTCGCTGAAAACGGTTTGTTTAGTCAATATGCGAGTTATTAGATTTACGCATGAGAGAACAGGGCATATCGAGCAAAGACAAGTCCAAAATTAACGTTTATTTATTAATTTTATTTATGCATGGGCGATCTTTAAATAAATATTAGAAACCCGTCCAAAATAGATAAAGAATCAATTCTCAAACAATATCTCATTGTATTTCATGGCAAAAAAAAGAGACTAATTGATGTTATGTCTTCCTCTTCTTCTTATTCTCCTTCCTGTAAAGAGAACATGAAAAAGAAAAAGAAATTTGTATTCCTCCTCATATTGCAATAGAGTTTTCGACTCTGTAAGTGCAACTGCTTGTCAGTATTCAATGATTCCTTATTGATTAATATAAAAATTCGCAAAAAATTATTTCTTTAAGGACACGGAAGTTTTTCCACATAAATGCAGGCGACCTCGAATCACGAACAACAACAAAACGCCCTGGCTGTGTCCTTTACTGCCTTTCTCACTTCTGTGATTTTCCAACAGTAAAGAAAGGGATTCAGAGATGAGTTCAGATAAACTAAAGTTTTCGTAAAGAGCCACAGAGCATGAATTGCTGATCCACTAAGTACTGTATGTCTCAATATCGACACAATTATAAAAGGGGTGTAGCATGCCACTAAAGCCAACTGCACCCAAAATATGCTGGAAACTGTTTTCTGATATTGTTTGATGTTTAGTTGAACTCTTTCGTTTAATCTTTGTTTTGATGAACCTTTTGCTGTCCATGCACGTACTCTTCCCCTTCCTGTACCTTTTACTCCTGCTCCTTCTTCTGTGGCTGTTCTTGTCCCCGTTATTGCGCCTGCTTCATCTTTTCCTGTTCCTATCTCTTCTCCTGCATTTGACCGTCCTTCGCCAGGGTTGTCTTCTACTTCAGCCTGGTGCCGCTGTAATCTCAGGTGGATCTTTACGTAGCAAAACACGGAAGTAACCAGAGATACCACAACGGCCACAAAAGCAACAATCTCCGAAACCGTTTGACTCCAGACACGAACCAATCCGCATAAAACAGCAATTATCCAGCATAAAAGTATAACAGCTTGAGTTCGCTTTAGTGTCACAACTTGTCTGTATCTCAGCCTCAATAACAGAACAAGAAGTCTGTCAACACTGATAGCTGTTGATATCAGTACAGTCACTCCAAACAAAACATAGTTGGATATACAAACAACCTCTTCGACGTAATACACAATATCTATGTCGGTGTTACCAAGATCAATGTAAAGAAATAAAACAGTCACGAACAGAGGTTGTGAAAAAAGACCCACACAAAGATCGGTAACGGCTAGACATTCAAACAAGACCTTTGCAGCGGGATGCAAAGAGGACACTTTATAAAATGTTTATAGAAGCAGAGCATTACCAAGAGATGCAATGAAGGAGAGGACAATGTTGAAAGCGAGGAGAAATGCTACTACTCCAATTGGTAATTGTGAAGATAACTGACTTGTGAGGGTCGTCATTGGCGCTCACGTTCAGACTTGTGGCTCTGTCTTTCCCTCTTTTGGCAGCAAATGAACGTTTATTGGGCGATCCCTATTCGATATAAGAGTATTATTGCTTTGTTGAGAATTTTAACAGTTTCTATTGGATAAAAAATTCCTCCTGCGTCTGATTTTCCGATGACAAATGTCACAGCTATAATTAGACTTGTTTTTAACTCTTTCGTATTTTTTTCATATTCTTTGAATTTTCTTTATGTTTAGTAAGCAGGTGCCACATTTATTTAACATACTAAATGACGTAGAATCTGTGAATTATTTTTCGCCAATACTTTGTAGAGCTTTCTCAACAAGTCAGCTTTTCTTTTCAGTTCCTGACCCTTGTGTGTCTTTGCCCTTCTTAACTATGCTCGTTTTGTTGTTAAGGTAACATATTTGTGGTTCTTTTATGATAAGCAAGTGCTTTTTAGATGAAAAAATTTGCATAATATACTGATGTTAAGGAACATCGTGGTCAATTCTCATAAATAAAGACATCACTGGGCTACAAACAACAACAAAACGCTCTGATTGTCTTCTTTACTGCAATTCTCACTTCTCTGAAAAATTAATTATTTTGCCACGAGTGTGTTCCCTAAATTCAGAACTCATTAGCCAGAGCCAATTTGCCGGCTCGTCAGGATATGTTAGGGAGTAGAGGTACTCTTTAACTTGGCGAAAAACATAGGCGCAAGGCTAAAAAATATTCGTGAAAATCTTAGCTCGATATTACTTTTTCCTCTGAATGAATTCGATTAGGGTTTAAGTTTAAAAGAGAAAACACAACTTTAAAATTAATTAAATTTGCTTTGTAACGAGTTGGGTGTGGTGTGCGGAAAAAGTGTTACCACCGCAAATAGCCAGCTGAAAAGAAACAATTACCTCCATCCTTCTTTTGAAGTAAAAATGAAGAAATAAGCCACACGAAATATTGGAAAATCACCATAGGAAAAGAAAAGAAAATGATATTGACCGAAAACCCTTCAACCCTGTTTTTCTTGAATATAGAAAACCACCCTTCTGCAGTTGAAAGTCTTACATGGCTTGAGAGACTTAAACATCACCACCTGCTCATTTCGGAAACTATATTCGTTCTTTCGATGTTCAGTGTGGTGTTCAAGAGGAGAGTTCTCAACGCCTTTAGCAATGAAAGAGTGGTAACTGCTATAAAATAACATGGAGAACCTCACATCAATTTCGTTGCTTCACGGGCGGATATGATCGAAGTCTTATTATGTTTGTTTCGTCATGGATCTTATAATTTCCATTGCAGCCATTGGGGGAAATGGTCTCATTCTTTTCCCTCTCTGCAAGATTTCTTCCCTTCATCAACCATCAAAATGTTTGTTCAGTAATCTTGCATGCACTGATATCAGTGTTGAACTCATTTTCCAGTCGTTTCATCTTCCTTACATAATTTCCCAAGGACACTCTGCAATTTGTTACCAGGGCTCGCTCATCAACCGAACTTTGGGGGTCATTTTCTGTGGCGTGTATGTCCTCACACTGACTGCAATAAGTACAGACAGACTTTTAGCTGTTTCACCAAGGTTAAGATATCGACAAGTGGTAACTCTGTGGCGAGTAGTCCTTTGCTGGCTTGTTTGCATTACAAGAGGAATAACAAACTATTCCATCCTTCCTATTTATTTGATAATCAGTAACATGGGTGTAATTTTTTCGATGATGACTTCTACTTTCTGCTACAGCATTTTACATAAAAAAAAACTCCGCCGTCAAGAACCTCAACTCCAAGCTTAAACTATCATTCCCAAATTGTGTGATACAATTACATTTTTCAAAGATAAAAACATAGCAGAATGACGTGCTCATTGTTGAGTTGAATTAACAACTGAAAGATGGAAACTTAAAAGCCGCGCTTCAAAAAATTGCAATATCACTGTCATCATCCGAATCATCATCGCCAGATATCGTGATTTCAATTTCGTCGTCATCATCATCATCGTCATCGTCATCATCATTTTCATCATCATCGTCATCGACATCGTCATCTTCCTCGCCACCTTCGTCGGATTCCTAAGAGAAAAAAGGCATGGAGTAGTTATTTTATTGACCTACATCAAACACGTGTTGCACTAAGTGACGTGTTTTTGAAGTATGTTCCAAAAATAATTTAAAGTTCATCTCTGCTTTAGTGCCAGAGGGCGCCAACAAGGTGCAGGATTCTGTATGCAAATAAGGCACGAACCAATCACAAAACCGAATCCGCATCCAAGATGGCGGTTTCACATCTCTTTGATTGGTCCTACGAATATTGATGTGAAAGTCCTTAAGATTCTCATACCTGCTCGTCCTCGTCATCAGCCCTACGCAGCCGCCCTACTTCGTACACCCGGCAAACGCTTTCGTCGGTGCTGGCCTGATTCTAAAAAAGAACGTTACCGAATTTATGATATGAAATAATTCACGTGAACTGTTATGACATGATGACAAGATCTTTACGATGATAGTTTGTGACTTATGCAATCATGAAATGACAATTAAAGCCAGTCAGATGGTTCGCATTGCCAAAGTTTCTCCCAGTTGTCGTGGCATGAGGTAGCTGGGATTACTGCTAGCTCCTGAACTTGCAGTGCAGGCGTTATATTAGGGCGAGTTAACGTTAAGAAGTTCGCGATCGATTATTTCACCGGCCATGTTTGACTTAGAGTTTGAGTGGAAAGTGGAAGGAGGGGGCAGTGAAAGGCGAAAAGACGCTTGCTCGAAGAGGCTGTTAAAAAGCGAAACACCCCATGACTAATTGTGCCTCACCGCATTTTCGGAATTGAGCAAGTAACCGTAACCACAAGAAAAAGAAAAAAGAAGAAAAAAAAAGAAGCGTAGAGCGGATGAGTGAAACTGTGAGGCAGTTTTTTTTCAGCGCAGAGCCAAATGGCTTCGACGTAACCTTTTCCGAGGACACAGATATGAGCTGATATTCGCTGCATCCTATGTTCTTTGAGTGTAGCTTCCGTTAATCCCTTTGGCGATGTTTCTTCCATTTGATCGTAAAGGGTGCTTTGAAGCAGACACACTTCTGCACTCGAAGGTTTGTTTTATAATTAGTTTTAAAGCTAACCAGCATCTGAAATAGAAAGCTTTTCCTAAAAAAACCAGTGGGTAACACTGCCAGCAGATCTTTTCCAGTGACCAGTGTGGAAATTAAGACTTTTTGCTACCCTCGTAATGCGCGAGACACTCCATGTTCTGATGAACACTTGAGAGATTCCCTCAATCTGTCTACAGCCGCTTCCTGCTCTAAAAAATACGGTTTTTCTAGGCAGCTTCCTCGTGAATGAAATCGGAATTGTCAACTACGCCTTCGAAAGAGTTCACCCTCTTTTGTTTTTCCCGCAAGATAATCATGAAGCAGTTTGGCTAGTGATTGACAAGTAGAGCTAAACCGCACCAATCGGCTCAGGTCTTACGATCAAGATAAATTGAATTTAATGTTTCATAGAAATCACAAGAATCCTCTTACCTCTGAAGAAGTGTCGGAGAAGAGGGAGAAAAAAAGAGAAGAGAGGAAGTTAAGCAGGAGCGGGAGAGGAAGAGGATGGGAATGAAAGAAGGATGGAAGGGAGGAAAACAAAACAAGGCAGAGGTTTCCGATTTTTAAGCTTACCTCAATAACGGCTACAAAGCTGTCAGTTATATCGGTACACAAATCAAATATTGTCTTCTTAACGTCGATTGTAGCTGTTTGAAAGCAATTGAAATTTCCAACATCATTTTCTCACTCATTTCGTAAACGTAAAGATATTTCAAATTAACTGATAACGAGCGCCAAAAAAAATTTCTATTAAAATTTGTAGCAAGCCCTCCTGCTCACCTATTGGTTGATACTCTGTTGCGTCAAAGGTCCTGAACGAGGTCTCGTATGGTCCAAGGAGCCTGGAAGCTAGCGGTATTTCCAAAGGATCCGAAAGATGTTTTACTGTAAAATACGGAAGAACAAATACCGCTCCCTTCAGTCCAGAATTCATTTATTTTTTCATTTTTTGAGATATCAGAGGCTCTGAGGAACTTTTCCCTGAGGGCCCAGTTATGTAAAGAGCGGATAACGCTATCCGACGGATAGAGTTTCCAGTGGATAGCGCTATCCAACCTTCGAAAGACTGGAGCCGGAAGTTTTAGGGTTATGAGTGGAATAAAAGAGCTAGAGCTCTTTCACTTTTCCAAACACCGCAAAAGTTGCTAAATAATTGATGAAAAGTTGAAAAATTTCCTTACGCAATTTTGGATGTCTATAAACTGCTAAAAACCTATGGAACCATAATCCCGGATGAGTATTCTGTGCTCTCAATTTGAATTTGAATATCGAGATGACATATAGATCGCAACTAAAAGCTCACGACTTGGACGCACTAAAATCTCAATGTCGGGTCTGGTTTCCTCCGTGAAAAATTAATAAAGTATCAACAAATTTGAGAAGTGTGTAAACAAGTAAACATGAAATTACCCCCATACATGACGTCACCACTGTTATTGAAGATCACGTGACATTGATCTAGTGAAGGACACGTGTCCAGTAAATGGAAAGAGCGAAGATCCCACTGTTTTTAGCGTCAAGGATTATTGGCAAAGCAAAAGGCACACGGTTTATTTGAAATGAGTTGCTTTGGACATTCTAAGGGGTTAGTGTCACAAGAAACAGTAGTGCTTCGTCAGTTGTGAGGGCGGGGAAATAAGATAGTTTGGTTTTATCGACTAGGTTGATGATGTAAATTGGCCAGCAAATCACCAAGGATATTCAGACATAAGTTTATGTTCAGTGGATCAGTCAGGTGACTGTGTATTGCTTCACGAAAACGCTCAAAATGAGGAAACAATAAACTTTTCTTATGAAATAATAGTCCTTGATATCTATCTCTCTCCTAATTCACTGTCAAAGTAAGGAGGAGGTAGAGTGATTTTTCGAGATCCGTGAAAGGCCGACGTTGTGTTCCGTTATTTTCGCGAATCTGGACTCACTGCTTTACAGTCTAGCATTGGCTCGTTCTTTAAAAACAAAAAAAAAGGATACAATCTCTGAATTGATGATAATCTCCAGCCCAGAGGGATGAAAAACGCCGCTGACAAAGTTGTTAAACTTGTCAAACTTGTGTATAACCCGTTTGCCTTTGACATCCCATAATACACCGTCGTTCAGTACCAGGTCGTCCGTGGGATTGAAGGAGGCGAGGTTCTTTGAGTAGTTGTTAGTGTTGTTGGAATCGTGCAGAGTTAGTACCCGCTGACCTGTCGCAGTGTCGTAAATCTGATGGTTGAATATAATCTAGTGAATAATATCATCACACTCTAACCGCATTCTAATGTTCGCAGTTATCGAGAAATAAAAAGGGTGTTTTGGCAGAGAAGTACCACAAGCAATAAACGACAAAAAAAAAAACCTGAATCAAATACAAGAAAACATTGGTCAACCTTTACTAAGGTAATCACAAGGCTTTGCCTCCAATTTATCAACGATCTACCGATAAAAATCTCGAGTTCGGCGCCTTAAAGTTTGACTAATGTTTCAAAAGGCGTATTTCAACTGAGTGACTTGAAAGAAAAACCAAAGTTGTTTCTGAAGCATATCAAAATAGCAAATTAAAAAATTATCAAACACAGCCAAGAGGTCTCAGAACAAGTAAACTGAGGCGCAGAAAAGTGATCTTGGCCATGAAGTCTGAGCTAAAAATACTTCTTAAAAGTCCATGTATTCGAGACAAAAAATGATCGTGTACAAACTTGGGCGAAATTGGTGATTCTATCTTGCTATCCCGTGTTCACGCAGTAGCAATTTCGCTGATCTATTTTTCCTTTGTAAATGTTCTAGATGAACAGCGACAATTTGTCAAACTAAGGCTGATCGTGATGTATTTAGAAGTGAAAATGCATCAAATGTCTTGAACTCACACGCGCAGTAGCGTCGTGTGTGCCAATAATTCTGTCTTCTGATAAATTACAAAACTTTACCCAGGTGTCTTCGCTAAATGGATGTCTGAGCCAAAGAGAAACAAATAAAATTAGAAAGTAAATAACATTTTTTATCAAATAGAGAGATAAATGTAACGACAAAATATTATAGTTCGCCTACTGTCACCGTGTTATTAACACCAATCCGATTATAGGATACAAGCCATGACATACACCAAAATTATTTCCCATTTTGCTTGTTTTGATCTTGGGCGTCAATTGCCGCAGGTGAATTAAGTTGGAATCATTGCTCGTCTCCTGTAATCTATGAAATTAATTTGTCTAAGTGTCTTCTGTAAAAGTCGCAGCTCTGAAAGAATAATGTAAAACTTCTTCTTGTATTTCAGCGAAAGTCAAGTCAATAAAAATTAATGGTAAAACATAGTAAAGTATGTGTCTGTTTTATGTTTCTGCGACAAACATTGTAGTTTGTTAAAGGTGAGATACAAATAAACCAAGCAGAGACACAAACAAGGACGTTACTATCCAATGCACTAGTGGTACGAATCAAACAGGTTTTCAAGTTCAAAGACTTACTTCATTTCGAAAACATCTCCAAATGATAAAGAGCACAGGGAGGCAAAGCAGACGAAGATGACGTCAATAAAAGTTCGCGGTCCTAAAAATTGAAGAATGAAGTACAGAAAGACAATTTCAGTGATAAATGAATTCGTGAACACAACCTGAAAGGGTCACATAAGCCTTAGAAAGGTTCATAACGTTGCGAAACGCGCTGCAAAACTGATGAATAAAAAGGGTTGATTGGTTTCAGCGAAATATATGGAAACTAAACAGTTAACAAGAAAACTGAATTTGACCGAATGTTAAGTTATTTAAAAGCAGTAGCGGAGCTGCCTTGTTTGTGTGGATGTGGACCGAAATCCAACATCGAACCTAACTTGTTACCATTTGATTGTTGTTGGGTTGGGGGAGGGAGGGGTGGGTGCGCCAAAAAAAAATTGTTGAAAAACATTAATGAAACTTTCGACTTTGGTCGAAGTAGAAAGAAAGGTACTTTTAACTATATAGGGAGGGAAACTTCCATGTTGTACTCTTACTTTTGAACATTGGCACATGGAAATTGCTCTGTCTGCGCTACAGAGATAAGTCGCCTCTTCCTGAAAAATGTAATTTTTTTAAAAATAATTACGTGGAATACAAATTAACATGAAAACCATGCACTGAGCGGTTTAAATCTATAAAAGAACCAAAAAAAAAATATAGGTGAGATACAGCTGACAACTTAACTTGTCACAATCAACGGCTAATTCATACACATATAGCTATTTCAAGAAAAATTTGGCGTTTGACTTGAAATCAAAAGGTGTAAATTGAGTTTTGTACCTGTCCAGTTATTAAGTTATATTCCTTCAACTCGCCTATTTGTGTTCCAAGTAAAACAGACTTGCCATCGGGCTGAGGAGAAAAAGTAAAAACTTAGGTACTACGTTTACATGATCTCACAAAAGCCACTACTTTTTTTTAAAACTATAGTAAGGATAATTCTTACGGGTAGAAAAAAAAAAAAAAAAAAAAAAAAACACAAAATCATAATTTCCATTTTACTACGAATCAGCCAAATGTAAACGACAAAAACAAGAGGTTCAAACCGTTTGACTTCTAAGAGTGACCAGCGTCTAATTTCTCACTACAATATCCCTCCTTGAATCAAACATTAGGATCACGAGAATAAAGAAAATGATCACCGAATAAGAAGCTCTTGATTTTTAAACAAATTCTCTTTGTCAGCACCTTAGGGATTACATAGAGAACAGTAAGGAGAATATGCATACTGATGTTAGCATGTAAAGGGTCAAGCCCTGAAGATAGATTTTTGAGGAGTAAATTTGATGTCTGAAGAAGTATTAAGGTTCGTTCATCGTAAAAAAAAAAATTTAAAAAATCGGTATTCAGTTTCAATTGGTTTTAATTTTCTTCACTCTCGGGAACCGGTCTTTATTTATCACTTGGTGAGAAGGGTAGGTTAAATTTTTGGGGATCCCACGGTTTTTAGGGGGGAGCGGAGGGGGATCAGTCTTCTCTAACAGAGCTTAGAGGAGCAACTGCAGAAGCGACTGCCAATGAGGTGGGATCATTACAATACTACAGAACTTTGAGGGAGGATCAGGTGAATTTTATTGTGAAACAAAAAGAATACTCCGGTCCCCCGCCCCACTCCCCAGGAGGAAAAATGACAGGCCCCTTCTTAAGCTTACTTCAACTGCTTCGTGTTTGCCAAATTTAGCCAACCAGGATCTTTTCTATCCTTGGGAGTGGTTAGTCCTCGATATCACTTGCTCCTCTTAGCAGTTATAGATCTTAAAAATCACATTGAATGTGGTAACAGAGACACTTACTGCAAAACATGCACATGTAAAGAAGCTGTTTTCTTCAGTATCGCGAATGGCCCTGAGCGGTTTAAATCTAATAGAGAAAAACACAGTTAGACACAACCGAGAACTAAACTTAACACAATCAAAGACTAATTGTTAAACTTCGTCGGTAAAATGCGTCAGAATTCTGTAGAGGAACATCATCTTGAACATTATCTTGAGCAAACTTGGCATATTCGAATCGTTTCCTTGAGTCCAAACGTCTCTGCTAATAAAACTGAAAATAAAAGACTTCAAAAGGAGATCAACTAGTGTCACGTCCTTGCACGTGATAAACTCCGCTTCTTTTGGTCGACGCGAAGACGATAAGCCGGCGCTTTTGAAAAACACGAAAAATCCACTCTGTTCAGAGATTATGGAAACCTCCGTCACCTGTGTTCAGAAATACCGTTTACGTGTGGACAGGGGTCTGAGAATCAGGTTACAATGATTCTGTTAAGAGAACATTAAGAATTTCTAATAAAGCGATACGAAGTACAAATAAGGCATCTCCTACCTTCCGTACACAAACCGTCTGTTTAGTCTGGCGCCGTTTAATCCGCCATGACGCGGAATCACCTTCAGGTGGGAGAACATTTTTCAAGATTGAGTACAGATAAATGTTGAGGGAGACCACTCTATAATAAGAGCTGACACGAGTATCAAAACGACCTATTAAGATGATGAGATAAGTGTTTCCTTTGTCCGCCACCGTGGCAAAATAGTTTTGTTTAAAGCTAAGAACAATAGTAATATACATACTTCTCTTCGCTTTAACCTCGTCGTCATGTTCGATGGTGCGTAATATCTGTACTTTGGTTCAGGGCATTTATGGGGTCTGACGATAGACAAATCGGAATAAGTTGATTGTTCACAGTTTTGAGTTTTCTTAGACATCTGCAATTGTGGCGTATGATTCGATAAACAGCCCTATTTTAAGTATAGATTTATAAACACTCTGGAATTTTTTAATTGAAAGAGAGGAGATGCATTATGTGCAGTTTTTCAAAAATAATTCTACAAGATGCCACATTTATAACTCTTGTTATAAATGTTACAAACAGTTTTAAATAAACGGGCAAACACTCGGAGAAACAGTAAAAAAAAAAATAAATAAATAAAAAGAAACAAATAAATAACAAACAGTAAGGGAGTGTGAAAAAAAAAACCAAACAAGACAAGATAAAGTCTATTTGTCTAGTGACCTAGAAAACCTTGTAGGCAAGAAATAATTCTTACTCACCTACCGGTCTACAAGGAGGAGCTTAGGGTTTCACAAACCTTTTATATAAGTAGCTACCGTTAAAGAGATAGGCGGTGGTGATTACTTAGGGGTCGTACAAAATTCGTATAAAATCTCAACGAGGTAATTTGGTATTATAAGTCGAGTTGGTCACCACTTCAGTCAACGTTAGCCCTTCGTCATCGCTCTGACGAAGGGCTAACGCTCGAAACGTTAAATTCGGAACTATAAACGGTGGCTAATTTACGTTATCAACTCAGTTTATAATACCAAATTACCTTCTTAAACTCTCCAAACAACAAAGCACCACAGTTCTTTAGAAACTTTCCATCTTTAAAATCTTAACAGGAGGCACTACGATACCATATTTAAGCGAGAGTGGAATGCGCATAAGAAACTCTTAATGAAACTATTGGCAACCCTCCAAACAAGCTGAAATACTTTTTCAGATGTTTTTGGCTCTGGCATACATGACTTACCGTATTAAGGAGAATGGAGGGCCAGCGGACACAGGATTGTTACACTGCGCATGCTGTTCGCGAAGATACCGCGTCACGATCATGTCCAACGTAGGAGGTGACGGTGGGCGTGCAGGGCGAGAAAGATCGTAAGGTAGAAGCCGCTGACCAAAACAAACATGCAGACAAAGAAATTGATCGACGTATCATAAACAATATTGTAACACAAAACATTAATAAAATAATAATATTGTAATAATCAACAAATTATTATCCTTTTCGACAAATAAATTTACACGAGATTAAAAAAAGACTTTTTCCATGAATTTCTTTGTTCTTATAGCAGGGGTGGGATAAGCACACGACAAAGTTATGATCAGCATTCAGATACAATTATCCTGACCGCTCAATCATCTAAACATTGTTATTACCTTTCCTGTTGGTGTTCCAGGGTCGTTGAATCGGTACCGCGTCAGCGATGGAGTCCCGGGAGTGCTAACACCAGAGGAGGCCGTAGAAAGGCTTGAGGAGTGATTGAATCGAACCTGTGTACAGTGACATGGGACATGACGGTAAGCATACGGTTAGTCTTGTACGAAGAGATACGATCCACATTATGAGCCTGACTGCTTGCCCGCCTGATTCACTTGATCGACCGATCGACTGACCGAACGAGCGAGCTCCAACCTACTGAACGATTTACTGGTTGATTAGCTAATGGACGGACAAGCCGACTGACTGATAAACGAACAGCCGTAGTGACAGACAGACTGACTAACAAACTGACTGACGGGCTAATTGACTGACTGACGGACAGACGCAATGACAGACAGGCTGACTAACAAACTAACTAACTGACGGGCTGATTGACTGACTGACTGACGGACAGACGGAATGACTGACAGACTGATTGTTTGACTAATTGACTGACTGCCTGACAGAGACGGAATAACTGACAGACTGACAAACAAACTAACTGACTGACGGGCTGATTGACTGACTGAATGACTGACAGACTAATAAAGGGGGCAAGTTTCTAAAGAAGCGCTGTGGTGCTGCGTCGGTGGGAGAGAATAACAAAGTAATTCAGTATTACCAACTGAGTTGATAACGTAAATTGGCCACCGTAAAGAGTTTAAAAGCTCACGTTTCTGGCATTAACCCTACATCAGTCGCTATGACGAAGAGCTAACACTCGAAATGTCAGCTTTACCCTTTATGGTGGCCAATGTACGTTATCAGCTTAGTTGATAATACTAAATTGACCGACAGACTGTCTAACGGATGGGCTGATCGACTGACTGACTGGTAGATTGACAAACTCAATCACTTACTAACGGCTGACTAACTAATGGACTGGTGGACAAAGGAATGGAATGATGAAATGAAGGACATATGGACTGACTTAATTTGTCGATTCTTTTTCCTGTAAAAGAATTTCACAGAAGAATTTCAGAAAAAAAAGGACAAATTTGGTCATTTTCATCATAACCCGATCACGCAGACTCGTGCCATTATTAAATGACTTTAGAAAATGCGATCGCTGTTACGAGATGATTGTATTTTCCTCATGAATCAAGGACCTTGTGATCACAGAATACACTTAACAACGACAACATGCACCACATACTTTCCTATTAGTAGGCGTGTAAAGCAGATTTGATTCAGGTTTTGGGTCAGGTAGATTGGCTTCTTTCCGCAAAACCTCTGCAGTCTCATGAAGTCCTAGTCCAAAACAACCACACCTTTGATTAACAAATGAGCCAAACACCCTCAAGACTAGAACAAATTTAATTCGAGTGTCCAAAGTAATCTGGGACGCTTCGCCTTTGCTCTGCTAAGGGCTGTAATTGATCAAGACAACTCACGCCACCTTCTTAACCAATCAGATTCAAAACTAAAACCAGTTGCGATTTTGTCGCCCGCGTTTTCCCGCGCTTCAGAAGGTTGTTTATTTTTACCTTAAATTCTTATTGGCTCCACGTGATATTTTTCTTCGTTCTGATTGGTTGTTTTGATTGCTTTACGACACTCAAAATAAGAAGCAGAGACTTAGCAACAAAGATTATTCCTATTAAATTAAAGAAATAATCCAGCTCTGCATAATTGTTGGACTGTCGGATGACTTGGGACTTTCGTTTCTAAATTTCAAGAGTGTGTTATGAAGCGGGGTGTGATCTAAAAATAGGTTTAAAGGGAAATTCTTCAGTTTGTGATTCCGCCCCTTGACCTGATTTTCTCTTAATGCTCCTCGACGCTCCACAACAAACCTTGGGTTGTGAGGTGACTGTGAACCAGTTGTAAAAGCTCCTTTGCCGGATATGAAATATGAGTCTGCGCAACAACATCAGCCTAAGAAAGTAAAGGCTGATATTTAGTTATTGGGCTGTACAGGGTTTGAAAGTGTCCTACTTAAGAGAACGTCGAAATAAGTAAGAAAACCGACTCCACAGAAGCTATTGGGTAAGAGAAGTAAAAGGACAATTGAAACTCTAAAACTGTTAAATTTACATATGATTTCTTGCTGGGCTGTTCTAATAATGCTCTAGAAAGTATTAATTTCTTAATTTCTTCTTAACTTAAAAAGTATTTAGATGAAAACCGATAGTGTGACTATCTTACCTACGATCAAATGTTTTCTTTTAGGAGAGGATGGCAGGGAAACTGAGGATGTCCCTCCTCCCCTCCTCTGAAGAACAGAGAAAGCCTGAAGGCAGTCTCGATGACCATCCATTTTTAAACAAGAAATACAAAGAAGTAGATACTGATAAATTCTTCAAATAAAATCATCGATTGTTCATTATTTAAGCAAAACTTTAATAATCGAAATTAGACTTTTCCGTACGTTTGCCGTTCAAACAAAAGTTAATGAGCTGTAAACTATCGAGTAAAGACGCTGTTGAAGGTCTCCGCCCTCCCCTGTTAGAGACGACAGCTTGTGTCAATTTCAAGTTCATACCTTGTTTATTCTAGACAGGGACGGGACTGCAGAGGACGTAGCCAGAGATTTACCAGTGACTCTTTCAAGTAGCTCGGCAGCATATTTGCAGAAAAGGGCGTGGTCAGAAGCATTATCCTCAATGATCGGCTCTCGCATCAAAACTGTCAACAAATTCAAGACAAACGACATTGAGTCAACGTAAATGAAAGAAATGAAATGATGTTTAAGAAGGTCAACATGGCTGTAAATAGGTCAAGATAGCTGGATATTTGGCGAGCTCTTTTTGGCGCTTTTGTGGACTGAGACGAAGAGTCTTGAACTAGACAAAAGCTCTTGACTGATTAAGTTGTTCAATGAAGGAATTACTACATAGCAAAATTATTCTGCTTATATAAGAATCAAGAATGACTTGTTTTCTTTTAAGCGCTGGAAAAGAAAGTCATCGGTGATGGTGAGTGCTCGTTTTACATTTGAAAAAGTGTTTTGACCGTCCTCTATCGCTTTTTACGACTTCTTTACCGACGTTGGCTAAACATTACAAACTTTGTAAGTCTTCGCAACGCAACCTTTTATTTTGCGCGAAATGAAAGCGTGATATCCCAAGCGGATAAGAGCTCAGGTAGCCTATCAGAACACAGGACTCGCTTCATCTTGCCTACGGGCACGCCCAGCTGTATAATATACATGGTTGGATAAGTGTGAAGAAAGCACCGCGCAGTGCAATACTCACTTTGTAACTGGCCGCTGTTAAACAGCTGTAGTTTTCCAATGACTTGTCTAATCTTGTCACTCCTCGATAAACCACATAACGCTTTACAAGCCAAAGCACGAATACAATCTGCATCAACCAATGGCGTTTTCACCATCAGTAAGGAGAGCAGAACCTTGATGCCATTACTGGCCCTGACACATCCCCACATCTTGGATAAGATGTCGTCGCTGCTTTTGAAAGCCGGCTTGGATTTCGACTGAAATTTTGCAACAGCTCCGCTAATCTGCAAACAATGAAGACAAAAGTTATCATCGCGGTGACGCCAAACACTACTTAAGCAGTTGAAAAAAACACTGAAAAAAATCGGGCCTGTACCGTAGTTAAACGGAAAAATGGAAAAAAGGAACAACGCACTCGGCCTGGTTGCTTAACACCTTAAACACTAAGTACTTTCAAATTCAACAAATATTCCTAACGTTTAAGTAGCAATTCTTTCATGAACTTTAATCAGCCTAAGACTGGGAGGAGAGCAGCGTTGAGGGAGGGGAGGGAGGGGGTTGAGGAACCGTGTAGAGGTAAGCAAAGCTTATCGTGTTGACTCCGATATTGACTCAACTTTAAGCGACTTTGCCATTACCAAGTCAGTTACAAAATGAAGAATTTTCGCCTGCTCTACCAACAAACTACGCCTGTAACTCTGTTTCTTATTTGTTTTTGCTTGTTCCTTTTTGTTGTTGTTTTTTTTCTGTCGCGAAAATACTTTGAGAAACTCATGCGAGAGGGAGGGAACTAAATCTAAACGCGCACAAACCACTTACCCTGACCCGAGGACCGCACACACAGTTACAAATGACGTGGAGAGCGGCTTTCTGTACCTCAGAGTCATTGAGTAAACTCCCTTCAGCGCAACGCAGCAGAAGCCTGGAAAAAAAGATTTCTTAATATGACTGAATAGAGAGTATATAAGCCTTCTGGCCTCTTGCTACCGAATGTTTCCACGGGTTATTAAAATAAGGTGACTAAGAACACTTCTACTACTTCTGATGATCACGAAGGACTTTTGATGATGATCATGTCTAAATTAATTATTTTCCCGTAGATCATACCTCATTCCTTTCTGTTGTTCTCCTGACGGAAGTTGCACTTCTTCACACAGCGCCATCTGAGCCTTAGGACCGACTGTCAACACAAACAGCATCTCTAAAGCAAGGCGGGTCACGTCGGCTGCTAATCGGATGGCGTCCGCTCTTGAATGGAGCAAAGAAACAGGAATGGAGAGGATTAACAAGCTGTTTATACGCTTTTAATGTAAAAAATGTTAGTCGAGATATTCAGAGTTCACAAATAGAACAAAATATGCCAGTAATAACTATTAATTTCCATTAAATATGGAACAATTACCCATCGATGATATTAACATAGAGCAGTGGACAGGCCTCAAGAATGGCATTTAAAATGCAGGGAGAAAAATTGTAATATCGTAAGTCGACAATACTAAAAGCTTCTTGTACCTTTTTGAAGGCAGTAGAAAATCATTACAACTAATGTTCTGCTACAATTTTGATTTTTGAATTATCAACAACTTCAATTCCTCGAGTTGAAACAATTTCCGACAATTTCAAAGTCCAGTAGCACAGTCCTACAAGCAGACCTTTCTTGATTTTCCTGGACTCGTACAAAGTCTGGAGAAATGATAGCAAAACCAATGACTTACCTATTACTGGTCACTCCCCAGTCTGACGACAGGGAGATCAACTGAAGCAGCAGGGTGAAGCCTTGAAGTCTGTTCATCATCTTTAGGATAAAAAGAAGACATGTTAAATAATAGCGAGCTTGAGCAGTCAGGAAGGCAAAATCGAGGAAGACGTCGACTGAAATGATGAATTTTTACTTTTGGTTAGAATTTCGCGAGTGGCTGGATGTGTTTATCGTCTCTTACGGGGCCACAACTTCAGCATAACATATGTAAGCAGGGTTGAGTTCCAAATGTAAGTTTTACTAATTTGCCATCGGTGTTTCCGTTCTCAGACCACGCAAATTTGGGCGATTTCACGTTGTTGTTTTGCAGAGAGCATCTACGGAAATGTACAAAGTTCTAAAACGCACGTGCTGAGCAATAAGATCTTTTGTTTGGCCACGTCCTCGATTCAGGCCGTAGTGGTTTGCCACAAATCCCTAATAAACACGAGAAAACGTATGCATTCTGACACTGTAAAGACCTCAGGCGGAAGACAGTTTACACTAGTTTTGGGTAAATTGACAAGGTGTGTCTATGCTTATGAGCATTGGTGAATAAAATAAAAAACAAAAACAAAAACAAAAACAAAACAAAACAAGAAACGAACAAACACACAAATGAATGAAATTACTTCTCCAATCTATTCTTGAGAGCGAACCGTATCCACTGGACTGAAATGCATATGTAAACTAGGAAACTTATAAATAAAATAATAATAATAATAATAATAATAATAATAATAATAATAGTAATAGTAATAATAATAATAATAATACTAAAACCAAAGAGAATAACAACTAACAACAACAAAGTAATGGAAGTAGGTGTTATGGTGTCCATCGAGGGGTTTCATAACCTACGAGTTTGAAGCCGGAGCCTTGGCAAGGAACATTGTATCGTGTCCCTGTGAAAAATACTATAACATTCTACAGAGGAGTTTCAGTACTACAATGTGCCCTACACTTAATAAACCAAGATACGCCTCTGCGAAATAATCAACCACGACCATGCGACGCTGTTTTTTCTTTTGCGTTATTTTTCAGTTATTACCTCAACAGGCTCCCAACGCAGTGTTGTTGGAGCATACTCTAACATCAACTGACAGTTCTCCATTACACTGCTGTGAGACAGGGATGCAGCCTAAAAGAGAACAGTTGCTCATCAATATGAGTTGAACAAAATGATGCTAGGCTACCAAAGACAAAACTGCGGAACAAACAAACAAACAAAACCAAGCAGACAGACAAACAGACAAAAACAGTATCTTCTGCGTAAATATTTAAGACGATTTGGAGTGTTTGTTAGGCGAGGTTTATAAACTTTCGTGCTAAAAGTAGAAAATTTACAAGGACGAGATTAAATGTTAAGCAGAATACTGCCAAAAACCTTTACCAGGTTTAAGTTAACTTCCAACCTCTCTAAACTAAAACAGCCGAGCAGGCGTAGTCCTTTTACATAACATAACATACTGAATTTGCCCATCTAAAGATATTCAAATTTTCTCCTAGAATTAGGGAGTAGCCTTGGAAATTCACCTTATACGCTGGAACTGGAACTGGTGGTGTTCCACCCTCGTTCCTTGCAATAGATCTCCTGAGCGCATCTGCCCTGATGTGAAGATGGGCATCAAAATATCTCCGTAGAGCCATGCAAGTGTGTTTTGCTGTCTGCCGGCTGCCAAACACCTCATCATCACTCAGTAGTTCTGCCTCGTCGGGACGAAGGATTGAAAGCGTACTTAGCTGCCAGACAAGGTTAAACAAAAAAAAGATTCTTTTAGAATGAATAAAGGGGTAAGTTTCTAAAGAAACTGTGGTGCTGCGTCGGTGGGAGAGTATAGCAGGTAATTTAGTGTTAACAACTGAGTTGAAAACGTAAATTAGCCACCGTAAAGGGTAAAAAAGCTGACGTTTCGAGCGTTAGCCTTTCGTCAGAGCGATTAGAGGAATTGTGAGTTGTGTGTGGATTTATATGTAGGAAGTGGAGCTACGCCATTGGTGGGAATGTGGTGACGAGAAAACAGGAATAAATTAGTTGAATGAAAAGCGCTCGTTGATTCCGTGGGGATTAAGGATGCCGATTTGGAATATAAATTTTTGTTCTAGTGTTTTACGGCTTTCCGAACTGCCTAGGTGTAAGGAAAGACCGCAAACTGCCATATGCTGTTTAGAATGATAAGGAAGATTAAAGTGTCTAGCGACTGGCTTAGATGCGTCCTTGTCATTTCTTTCCACATCGCGAAGGTGTTCTCGGAATCGGTCACCCAGTCGTCTTCCTGTTTCGCCGATGTATAACTTATTGCAATAAGTGCAAGTTATGCAGTAAATAACATTGGCGGAGGTACACGTAAAGTGATCAATTATCTTAATGGATCTTTTGGGTCCCGATATTTTCTCTACGTTATGAATGCAAGGACAAGTTTTGCATCGTGAGCGAGCGCATTTAAAAGTTCCAGATTGGTCATAGGTTGGAAATCATTTCCAACCATTCACAGCGGTCGACATTTCTCTAAACTACGTTTCAAAAGTAACAAACCGTGATTTATTGAAGTGGAGGTGGTTGGCTTGTGGTGAATATTCACTGAGTCTCGAAGCGGCGAGGTGAATATCCACCGCCAGCCATCGGCACTGAGGTGAATAGTTGTTTTAGTATATATTTAAACAGTAAGATAACATAGCAAAAAGGGATGATTCTAACTCATTTATTCCCGCGATGATTGCAATATTTCCGTGCGCAAATCACGCGCGAGTTGCTCGGAAGTGAACAGCAACGGATATTCGGAGTTGAGTAGCCAATCAGAATGGGCCTTCAACGTTATTCACTATTTTATTAATTAAATTATCACTATTTACGTTAGTCGTTCTTTTCTTTCTTTAAGTATTGCAAAATATTTCGAATGAGTGTTATTAAGAGAAATTGCTACTCCTACGAGAACGGAAAGGTCACAGAACAAGTAGACCTCGTGGTGTGATCCTACTCCAGGCGATTGAACTACACGATCCACGTTTCTCTGGGGTCCAAACCGTGTCGTGTAATTAATAAATAAAACTGACTAATTACCTGGTTCACAAGCTTCCGCAGACCATCATTACTGTCGAACAATTCCAGCACTTCTCGAAATGAACACGTGAGCGAGAAAAAGAGAGTTGCGTGACACCTGCCAGAGTCGTGAGAACATTCTAGAAGCCACAATGCATACTTGACCAGGTCACTCAGCACAGGGTTTGGTAGGAGGGACACCTGAAACAAGTTATTTGAAACAGTTACGGAGGTTCCGTCGACATATTCTGTTTGTTAATTTCATGATCCTCTGGCCCATGTAGAAAAAAGAGCACCAAGAATTTAATTATTCGAAGTTTTTTTTTGTGGAATTAAGAGTAGTTTTGTAAGATAACATTTTTTGAGTGATTATTTCTGTTTCTCATCTTTATCTTTTTCTATCTCCTTGCCTGCGATTCTCTTTATCCATTTGACCAGTTTTTCTTTAATTCCTTTTTTATCTCTCTACCTGTGGGTTATATGCTAGACATAAATAAGCTTTTTTTTTTTGGGGGGGGGAGGGGGGGGGGGGAGGGAGATTCATGAAAAATAAGCAGAGATGTGTTATTCAATTCATTGTTATTTCATGTTTAACGGAATGATACTCGTTACCTCTTTCTTTTAGAAAATACTGGTCTGCTCATAACTCACCGACCATTGGTAAGTTAAATCTGCACTAAATAATGCATTTCTTACAACTACAAATCAGAAAACTTCAAACATTTTTTTAAATTGGAAAAATGTCTTACCCTCTCCATGGCGTCCTCATTGTAAGCGAGATAATACAGACACATAGAACATCCTGTAGCAGCCACAGATGGGCGAGGCACTTCTAGTAACCGCTGGACACCGTTATGAGTCACAAATTCTGTGGCAAACTTTTTATGACAAAGGAGGGATGCCAAATACTAAAACGACAATAAAAGGAAATAGCTTTTAAATTCTGAGGCTTTTTTGTTAGATCTCAGTCGGTACAATGCATTATTGTCTTAACCCTTAACTTCCACGAGTGACCAAGGCAGAATTTCTCCTTACAATATCAATACAATATCAACCAGATAAGTAAAGAGAATAGAGAAAATTATCAATTCGGGCAGGATAAGCTGATCCAATACTAAATTATCCGAACTAACATTATAAGAATTCTGTGGTTGACAGTAACGAGAATTACAAATTTGATCTGGGAGTTGAAGAGTTAAAGTAGTGTTTTTCAAGAGGGATGAATGTGGTAGAGTGTCTAAAGGTTCGTTTTATACAAAAGACAGAATTGGAGTCGAATTTTTCATAAGTCGTAGGAGTGCCAGCGACCCAGAGAAAATTGGGAGTCGGAGTCGTAAGTGGAGCCAAAAGCTTGACGAAATCGGAGTCGGAATATTCCGAACAATTTCTTTTCTTCCAATTCCACTAATAACTCTAACGATTATGATCCGGCGAAAACTCGATTTTCTGAATCACAGACAATTCCATTTCTTAACTGAGCTAACCGATGGCTGAAAACTCCAGCAATTTATTTTTCAAATGTTATTAGCGAAGGAGTCATAAGTGGCATCAGTATTTTGCTTCTGATTCTATCGGTTTGATTTTCACAGGATTATATCGCTTTACGCTTTTTGTAAGTATACCGGCGAGGGTGAAAACCAACCATAACTGCATGAAATTCTAGACGTACAACACGAAAGCAAGACGTCACTACCTCCTTCCTACCTTGAGGGCTTCAAAGACAAGTTGTAGGTCCACCTGGCCTTTAAATGTAATGTAGTGCATTACAAGATCCAGGGCTTTAGATTCAAACACTGTCGGCAACAGCTGAATTGAAATGTTCAAAGAAAAATGTGTCAAGATAAATCAATGGCCATGCAATGCTCCAGGCTCTGCTACGACTGTTTTAGTTGCCATAGCAACTGATAAAATTTGCTACGGCTCAACTAGAACCTCTTCATTCAGAGCTGAGTGCATTTACTTTTGACCAAGACCAATGCATGTCCCTTCATCCAACAAATATTTCTTACTCGCGCCAATTAGTTAAAACGCCTCACGATCAAAAATCCTTGACCCAAGTGAATTATCGTCTGACCAAGGCCAATTTATGTCCCTTCATCCAAAAAGTATTTCTTGCTTGCGTACGTTCAGTTAAAGCGCATCAGATGATCAAGAATTCTTGATCCGAGTGTGTTATCTTCTGACCAAGGCCAATGTATGTCCCTTCCTCCAAAAAATAATTCTTGCTCGCACACGACTAGTTAAAACGGTCCACACTCAAATTTTCAAGTTGTGTGACATTTCCAATTTATCCTTGATTCAGAGCCCTTTTCCCACAAGCTTCCCATATACTTCAGTGGAGAGACTCTCTCTGTTCTTCATATATCATTAAATGCTGAAGTGCCTAATTACAGCACATACCTCCTGATATTCCCCCAAGGGAGTCAGATACTGTAGAATTAGTCTCTGCTGCATGCCAAGAGTCAGGGGGGAGAGGGAAAAGGACATAGGGACTATGTGGTACCCTCCCTTAGGTGCACAAATTACATTTCCAGTGGAACGGAAACCCTTGCTTGTTTTAACTAGCAATGGATGTTTTGCTTGTAGACAACTTTTGCCTGAAACAAAAGGAAAATATTTACAAATTTTAAGGAAACTGAGTTAACTTGTGCAGGGCAAATCTACTTGGCATACTTCCTCCTCCTCCCCCTTATCTCCCCTCCTCCCCCCCCTTATCCCCCCCTCCCCCCTTCAAACAAAGTTTTTGGTGTCAAACTTCCATAGATGATCCTTAAACAATTTAGTCCTTGATAACAATTGTTTAACTAATCATTTTATTATCAAAATCTTCCATTTGCTGACAGACAAGCCTCCTCCTTGTGTTTCACACAAAAACTCCTCTGAAACGACGTATGGTTACTGTTTACCAAAATTTGAGTCAGTTTGTTGTTGGAAACTCAAAATCTTTCTTTTTTTTTTTGGCTGGAAATTTATGCTGAAATATATGATAAGATTAAATATCAAACATTTATCAAAACTTATTTATAAAGGCAAAAGTAGACTGAAAGAACTCTACAAGATCTCAAGGTGTTTTAGGTCTCACATCATAAGTTTGCATGAAAGCTCCCAGAGTATACCTGAGCCTTCAAGTTACAAACGAGTCCTACCACTCAGTTTGAAAAGATAGTTAAATCAACTTGAAGTTGCTAGGAGATTGAACTCACTAACAGAGGGACAATCAGAGTTACAATACTCAAAAGTGAACTAACCCTTTCCATTGTAGCTATTCACTTCTTCCACTTCTCCATTACACAAACCGGATAATTCGCCATTCTGTGGCACAGTGCATGATGGTCCTGGCTCAGCAAGATTCACTTTCTTTATCTTGTTACTCACGCTGTTACTGTTTTCACTCTTGTTCCTGTTTGTCTTTGCTTTCAGGATAATCCTGTTTGACAGGTCTGTCACAGCGGGCTGTGTAAGGTCTGACAAGTCCTTTAAAATGTGCAGCCGTCGCAGCATAGAGGGAACCTAAACATGCGAAATTCAACATTTAATCCTAAGCTTATAGTTTACAAGAGTTTTTTAAAACAAAAAATGCAACGACTGACGCTAGACAATTCCTGAGATGTGAAAAGCCAACTTTGCACTCACAGGTTTGAAACACAAATGCTGTTAACCACAAAGCTAAAAACAAAAACCCCTCAGCACCCTAATATCAATACTCATATCCTTCATACTGTTCTCTTGCATTTCTTAAGGTGCTGACAGGGAGAATTTGGCTTCTTTAACAGGTGATCATTTCCTTTGTTCTTGTAACCTTAGTGGTCACTCTTAAAAATTGCTATATCCAACATATTGACCAGCTCCCTGTTGGCTTGTTAGCTCAGCTGGTAGAGCGCTGCACTGTTATCACAGAGGTCATGGGTTCAAATCCCATACGGGCCTGAACATTTTTTTCAGGTCTTATTTCAACTACTAGTTCAGTAGCGTTCTTGGCTGCGAGGATCTCTTATATTTATTTCTTCACCACAGTGCAACTATATGAATTTCATATATCTAAAATCATTATTGCTATATTGACTTACCAAGGTGGAGTTTTCTTCTCTGAATACTGCAGCAATATCCTGGCTCTCCATGGCAAATGCTAAAAGACCTGTTAATAAATAATAATTATTGTTAACAAATTAAAAATGCAACTGCAGCAATACACATAAAAAATGAACAAAAAGGAATATTAGAATCCTCAATCAAACCATGACTATCTATATCTTCACTCTTTACACCCTAACATCAGTATGCATATTCTCCATACTGTTCTCTATACATTTTCTAATGCACTGACAAGGAGAATTTGTTTAACAATCAAGAGGTTCTTCAGTTGCTCATCATTTCCTTTATTTCCATGATCTTAATGTTTGATTCAGGGTTGATATTGAAAGAAGAAATTAGATGCTAGTCACTCTCAAGGGTTAACCTAATGTAAATAACCTTGGATCACCAAAGTAAAACACCCTTCTACTTGCACCCAGTTTATAAAGGTGTAAACAAAATTGAGTTAGCTCAGAAACTCAGAAGCTTTACAGGAATTAGGTAAATCTAATTTTCCCAAGGAGAGCACTTGATGCTAAATATTTAGTCAATTCAATTTTTTTATTTCCTTTTGTTTTTAGTATGGTGACCAAAATATTCAAAGCCTGAAGTACTGTTAAAAGTAAGACCAGTAAACTATGCTATAAATACCTGCAGCATATGATCTCAGGGGTTCTGAGGCTTCTCTGGCCCACTTGCATAAATGATTAAGCATTGCTTCCTACATGTACATGATTGACATCAAATTTATTGATAGGAAATATGTAGAGAAAGATGTTTTTTGTCTTTTCATGAGTGTGGGACAAAGAAAAAAAGAAAAGGAAAAGAGATCTTATTTGTTGTGGCTCAGTGGTAGAGCATTGGACCCCAGAATCTGAAGGTATAAGGTTCAATTCAACCTGGGGATTCAGAATTTTTTTCTTTGTCACACACTTGTGACAAGACAAAAAACATCTTTCTCTATTTCTTTAGCGAGCTTAAACCTTACCATCTCTCTTGTTCTGTTTAAGAAATATGTAGTTATGAATTAAGGAACAATGAAAGTGGATCTGAAAAGTTTGCATTTTTTTAAAGTTTTTTTGCACTAAAGTGAGATGACTGAGAGCAACAAATAAGATCTCTTTTCCTTTTCTGTTTTTCATGATATAACTACAAGAAATTCATGTTTTTTATCTATAATTTGATGAAATAGCAATTGTATGAGTTAATTCTGAGTATTTTTTCTGGAAAGGACAAGGTGTGCTATGCCACAGAAACTGGACACATTGATCTGGATTTTTACATAGAACTCAAGCTGAAGAAAGAAAGTCACATCTTAAGATTACTAAGTTAAACCCTTTAACTCCCAGAAGTGATTAACAGATAACTTCTCCCCATAATATCCATACATTATCCAGCACAAAGGTAATGAGAATACTCAGACTTATCAGGTAGAAGTTGTCATCTTTAACACCAAATTCTCATAACTAATTCACAAGGAAATGTGTTGCAGCTAGAGCAGAGAATTAACAATCAAATCTTAGGAGTTAAAGGATTAAGAATACCTTTCTAAACTTACCATATCCTGAAAAACTGCAGCACTTTCCAGCCCAGGCATGGCATTTAACAAAACTCTGGCTGCAGTGCAGTTCAGATTAAACTGTTCCACAGTGCTCATGATATAGGAGTTCACTAGTTTGTCCATAAATTCATCATTTCTGAACAGTGTCTTCAAAAGATGGCCTAATGCACAGTCTGGGTCAGCTCTACCTGAAATGTTCATGATGGAGAAAAAAAGAGCTGATTTTATTTTGAATAATTTAATACAATCAAGACCTCTTATTGACTGAGAGTGAGATCTGCACTGTTAAAATTACAGACTAAGTTTTTTTCCCTAGACATACATCTGAGCCAAAAAAAAAAAAAGGTTCTGTCAGTTAAGAGTATGGACTGAGAAAATGAGGCTCATAAGATTTTTAATAATCAGGGTCCAATTAAAGGAGAAGATTCTAATTAAAGCCAAAATTTAAAAATTTTCAAGCTTTTCAGTGAAATACAACCCACTAAATAGACCAATCATTGTGCATGTACTAACTGAGAAAAAATTTATAATAAAGTAATTAATTTCATTCACAGCCAGGCTATATCAGTTTGACCACATGAGGCCATCACTGTGACATGGACACTTCTCACACCAAGCCTCATCTAAGTTCTAGTGTTTTCTTGTGACTCAAGTAAGTAGATAAGTATTGTGCCTCTTTAACACAGTGAGTCTTGTGAAGATTCCACTGGGAACAAAAAGTAGAACTGACATTGAATAAGAAGCAAGAACAACACTTCTCATTCATGAAAGTTTGAATTACTGCTGTTTGTCATGTGTTATCATTCTTTTTCATGCAAAGTGTGTCTTGGACCTGTTTCATTATTGGCAGGCCTTGGTTCTCTTCAACCTGCATATTGTTTCTTATCAGCTTGCTGTTAATGGAAGAGGTTCACACAACAAACACTCTGACAAAGGGCTAATGCTTGAAACGTTTTGAAACTCTTTATGGAGGCCAATTAACATTATCAACTCAGTTAACAAACGAAGTTATCTTGTTAAACTCCACCACTGATGCAGCATCACAGTTTTTTCAAAGAAACTTACCCGCTTTAGGTCTGTAGCTATCCTTCCTAGTATCTGAGAATACCTTACACTACATTACCTAATGTATTTGTAATAGATGTTATAATGTATAAAACACAAAGAGTGTGTAATGTGAAAAGGTAGCTTTGCACTTTTATCTGGATGCCAATCATCAAAAGGATCTGGATCTAGTTTATGATATGCCTCATTCTCATGTTCCACAAGCTCTGCTATCCTGCATTAGTGATTTTAAAATGTAAAATACTTTTGAATCTACTTTTTGCCAAATTGTTTGTTCACTTTTTGTAGAGCCCAACATGAACAATGTTACTGATCTTACAGTTCCAGTAAGTAGTCATACACATTGAGTGTGTATCACACAATTATCACGGCCAAGGCTTGAAACTAAAAACTCCCCTCCAGAATCTAGCACACAAATCATTCGTCCGTTGTCTTTCCCATTTATTTTCTACCTTTCCATGCTATGTTTTATACGTTCTGAGAGAGGAAAAGGAATTTTTTTCGGTGTGTAATGACAGCGACATGCTAACCCAACAACAGTTTTATCATTGGCAGACCACCATGAGCCTCGCTAGGTGGAAGGTATCTGTTGACATGTAAGATGAACTGGAGAAACCAGTCAATCATTGTGTAATTCATAATAATAATAATTTCAAAGCATATTAACGAATGAAGCCAATTGCATTGAGGCAGCTACTTGAAAGCTTTCAGAGGTTATTATCAACTGTTTTTTTTTTGTTTGATTTTTTTGCAAATTTAAAAAAAGATACTACTTCTAATACATTTCACCAACCTTTGTAGAGTTTTAACGGGTGATAGATTATTCTGATCTTCCTTTCGCCAAGTATCCAAAAGGGTACTGAGTTCAGAGGTGCTACAAATAGACAATTTACATCAACGTGCAGAGTTTCGAAGATCGAAAAGCCCGCCATTTTGATCCGAAAGATATGATACAAGATTACATGGTCTTCCTCTTCGAAAGTTATATCACTTTTCTCTGCATAATTACTCTGATATTACTGCGAGTGATTTTGTTGACTGTGTCAAGATCAGGTGTAATTCCTGTGAGTAAACTATATTTACGACGAAGTTTAGTCACATGGCGAGTTCCAACACAACACGCGCTAAGTCCCAGGCTATTATCAAATTTCGCGTGGAATGCCTAGTTGTTATTGACCTCTAACCAGTCTTTTTTTATCTTGCAACTCGGTCGGCTGTGATCTTACTTGGAATGGTTCATCTTTAACGACCAAAAATAATCATGACAAATGAATGACCTCCATTGTATTTTGCCCCACTTAACTTTTGATTATAGTTTGATAAATTTTTGAAGTGCTTAAGAGGAAATTAGAGTACCACAACTGAAGTTCAGAAAGGTACACACAAGTTACTTAAACAGTTTCAAGTTATTTTATGAGTTGACGTTTTCTCCTTTGAAGGCTCATCACCAGATGATTACTTGGACAAGTTGAGGCAGTTTTTCTGTGTAGGGCATGGAGTATCATGGGGATCTGGTTTTCATACCATGTTTACCCCAATTGTCGATTCTGAATTTTACAGTAAATGTCTTACTTTTTTGGTCCATCAATTTCTGTCATTTGTCCTGACTTTCTCTGATATTTGTCTTCTGAATTTTTCAAACGGTTCATTAACAGAACAAACCTGCAAAAATTTTCCCCGGCATTTGAACCTTGGAATATATTGACCGATCAGCTTGACAGGTATGAAACCATCGTTTGGATTCTGCTATATTTACTCCCCTGGTCTGGGAACCAAATGATCTTTACGTAAGGATATTAAAACGGTTTTCAAATGAGGTCCGCCAAAACAAAGCAAAGTACTCATTACCAGCCCCAAAATCAACAAATGGCTAATCACACAAGGAAACAGACAATCAGGCAATCGAGCTATCAGAATTATGGACAATTCCATACCGTTAAACGTGGAAGTCGTTATTGGTATTTTACTTGGTTCTCGGGGCAAGTTTTGTTTGCCAATCGCACTGCAAAGCAATGCAAAACCAAACAAATAATTCCAATCAATTTTTTGGTTTCTCCACTATTTTCCTTTCTGCTGGTAATAGGTTGGATCAACAGCTAAAGAACCTTGAGGGCGGCCAACCACGATGGTCTCCTGACAGCAGAATGTATATTGCCTACCTCTGCGATTTGCAAGAGAAGCGTCGAGAAGACTTGCAATTATCCATGCATGTCAATTGCTAAGAACGGTCGTTTCTCTTACAACTAATGAAGAAATATGCAGGTAACTTATTGATATGTTTGAGTGCTAACATTCGTCGATAAGACGCCCGATTAGAGCTAACCAACATATCGTAATGAAATGATTGTAGTGTAGGCTTTCTACGGTATCATTTTGACTCATGTCGTGTTAATAATTCTTTAGATGGACAAGCCATAGCAAAACGGTTTTGTGCGCAAATCACGAAGGCAACGGGAGCCATTAAACGGCTGTTCAAGGAGTACACAGGACAAAATGTTGACATGGTGGGTCGTAAACACCCCCTTCGTAATTGCGGTTGAAGACGCGTTAAGCATCGACAGTCCACTGTGGAGTGTACTAAACGATGATATCCAACCGCAGTCTGCTGTTCCCTATTCAGTGTTCAAAGAGGCAACTCATTGATCTGGTTCACACACGCAAAAGATGCTCAGAGGAAATAGCCAGCACCAAAGAAGAAATGGCTGGGATGTTCAGTCATTTCGAGGGAAAGTTGAAGGTATTGGACACCTGGATGTACTTCCTTCTCGCGTTACTCTTCGCTAAATATTCGTCTTTTTACTTATGTCTTTTCTTGTTCTCTTTCGCGTTCCTTTCACCGTATTCTGCATATTTTGGTGTCCTATCTAACTTTTTTGGGCGTTTTTCTCGACTTGCTTTACGTAATTACTTCTTGTTTTTTTTGGTCTCTCAGTCCCTTTCTTTTCATCCTGTTTTCACGCAAAATCCTCTCTCCACAAACTTGAATCATAACAATTTCCTCTCGTTGACAAAGCTTTAGCTCTGCCGGTATTGTTGCTTTGCGAGTTGATCAGAAAATGTAAAATACTGAGAATTACTGTTCAACTTCAACCTCACCAGTTTGATTTGGCGCTCAAAACGCAGGTTGCAAATTATTTTCTTACGCGGCTTCACAGCTATCAGCCAACGTGAAGCCCTCGTGCAATGCCTAGTTGTGTGCCCGCGGTACGCTGCACTGAAGCTCGACACTCGGGTATGCGCACTTCATTGTCATCTGCCGGTGTTTCCTTGCGCACAACTCGATGAGCGAGGTCTATTACGAAGTTCTATCCACAAACATTACGCTATTGACATTGTTAATCTTCACAGTATGCAGGACGCGTGTCATATGAACTTCGTAAGAGACTTCACTCACCATAGAGTCTCTGTGGCTCAGTAGTAGAACATCGGAGAGCAGAATCCGAAGGTCTGAAGCTCGATTCCTCATGGGGACTCAGAAGTTTTCTTTGTCCCACGCTCGTCACAAGACTAAAATCATCTTCATTTCTTAACCGAGCTCAAAACTTACCATCTCTCTTATTTCTCGCTAACTGCTTGTTTATGAAATTGCAACTCTTCGTAAGCGCTTATATGAATGCATTATAAATTCACTCGAAAAATTGTTGTAAATTAATCACACATACATATGCATGCATAGGGAGCCCTGAACGAAAAAAATCTACATATATATGTATATAATTTATTCGCCCGTCGGGAGGTCCGTATTGGGAAAAACTGTGCCCTCTGTCTTGAGTACTCAAGACAGAGGGCACAGTTTTTCCCAATACGGACCGACCCCAGGCTGGTGAATAACATTTTACATTTTACTACATAAATGAGTCCTCACATACATTCATAAAGTAGTCTGGAACATACCAGAAGCTTACAAAAGAACTATTTTAGTAGTATTACTTAATAACTGTGTCATCAAATGCGTCACTTGATGCCAAGATGAATAAGCAGTCTGGGGATTTCTAGAAGCTTATATTTACAACAACAATTACTCATAACAATAGATTCTTGCCGAACGAAGTCGAAAGTCGCTAAATATAAGTATTCCTTTCGCGATGACAAAAACCGAAAAAAGGAAGAAGGTGCCGTTAACTTTGCATAAAGATGCATTTCTGAATCAAAAAGTCATTCTCTTTGAATGTTGACGACCTCACCTCGAATCGAGTCAGTAAGAGGGCAAGAAAATTAGGAGCTTGCAACCATCTGGAGAATTCAATTGACTTCTGAATAAACGGGTTCCTATAATTAGAAATTTATTATCAGTTTGTTCCGTAATGATACTCAATCCAACACGTTCGAAAATTCAGATCGAGAGTGATTGAGGCATCCTATGTTTATTTTGAAATTCTTTTATAGGACTGCTAGGCATGAAACGTTCAAGGCGTTTCAAATGAGCAAACACCTTTGACGCTGAATAATTCTGAGGAGAAACCCTCCGTAAAAACATAGATAGTTATCAGATAGGTAAACACTGTTCTGTTGGGATAGAAATGGCGAGAATGACAAAAACAATTGCAATAATGACGATGATGATACATGTAAATAATAAAAATACTTATAACCATACTAATAAAATGATTCATGATAATCTATAGATGGGTAAATTCTCGTGTAGCTTTAATGTTTCCGAATACCGTTGCTGATCGGCAAATTAGCATCATATTCTTCCTGTTGATCAAAGATTGGAATCATGACATCATTATTCTTTTGAGTCAGCCAATCATGTGAGAGATCTGGAGACAGAGTGCATTGTTTTGGAGTCTTTTCTTCTTCGAAAGACCGTGGGAGAAGAGGGAGGACGAAAAATGAAAAACAGACTTCGGTGAAGTTTCTTTCTTTAATTTGCATTACCTCTATTTTAACCACCATTTACTCGCTCAAATATTTTTAGGTTTATGGGAAATCTTGTTGTAATTACAGCCCTAAATCTTTCGGGTTCTTTGGAA